TTTCTTGCACAACTTGTCAGACACTGCAACATCATGGAATCTTGGTTCAGAGGACATCTACAAGACCTTCACGGCTGCTGCAACTAACCCATCTCTTTGGGAAGGACCTACTTCCACTGGGGAATCCCGCCTACCAGTGACTTTGCCCTCGTCTGCTGCCCGTCCCTATCCACTGACGCCTATATAAAACCGCCAGTCTTCTTGTCTTTGCTCCAGATTCTCCTCCACCACGATGCTGTGAACACTAACTCCAAGGCCGAGGGACTGATTACCTCATCTTTTGTATATAGTTCTACTGTCTTCCTATTATGTCCTAGAATCTGTATTGATAAAGCCACTGGATGGCGAAACTACTCCTGTGTTGTTGGGTTGGTGCTGCTTAAGTATCATGTATGCCAATGTTTTTGAAATTTTGTAGTTTCCAGTGTTGCGTTCTATAGTGTCGGTGACGGCGATTAGTGAGGCTTCTAGGCACCGTCGGCGTCTGAGGTCTGGTTCGGTGAGAACGAGTTATGTCTCGTTCCAGTTCATCAAATGCCCCGTGGAGTCTCTGTGGAGGACACAGGCGTACCTTACATCGTCTCTGTTAGAGGCATTTCGATGCTCATTCAGGCGGACTGCAAGATCTCTGCCTGTCTCGCCTACATATTTCATGGGACAGAACCCACAGGGGATAGTGTAGACGCCTGCTGTAGAAATTAGAGGTGTGGGGCTGCGTTTCGTAGTGAGGTCTTTGATAGAGGATGTGTTTATGGTAGAAACGTTGATGTTACTCATGGCAAGTGCCCGGCGAGTATTCGTGGCAACATCGCCACATGGGAGTACTATGAACTGTTTAGGGGGCTGTTCCATGGGCGGTTTGTTGAGGATAGCTTGTGCCTTGAGTCTGCAATCTCGGATGAAGAAAGATGGGAACTGAAGACGTGTAAAGGCTTGTGTTATGTAAGTGCATTCTTCTTCTAGAAAACAAGGGCTGGAGATGCGAAGAGCTCTCAAGAAGAAGCCAATGAGGACTCCTCTCTTAGTGCGGGTGTCTTGGTGTGAATAAAAGTGTATAAGATCGTCCTTGTTGGTAGGTTTTCTATACACTTTGAAGAGAAGTTTGTCACTGTCGGGAGATCTGCACAGTAGAACGTCGAGGAAAGGAAGTTTGCCATCACTTTCGAGTTCAAGTGTAAACTTTATTGATGGTTCAACTGCATTGATCTTGAAGATTGAGACACTTATGCAGCATATGGGAATCTTTATTCCTGAATAAAGATTCCCATATGCTGCATAAGTGTCTCAATTTTCAACTTGTCGGTTTTTCAAACCATTCATCACAACTGTCAGACACTGCAGCATCATGATATCTTGTTACAAAGAATTCTTCAACACTTGTTCAACCTTTGGACGAAGACCTACTTCGACTAGTGGATGGTACCACTATGACCCCGCCTCCGCCTGCTTCACCTCACCTCACTACAGTATATAAGCCACGTCTACGGCCCTATGCTGTACATTCTACAAGATTGATGGACTGAACACATCGACTCCAGGTTGAGGGACTGATTACCTCATTCTCCTCCTCTCCTTACGCCTTCCTCTTTGTATTGGACTGATGAAGCCACTGTGTGGCGAAACGTTTCTCCTGAATAAAGATTCCCATATGCTGCATAAGTGTCTCAATCTTCAACTTGTCGGTTTTTCAAACCATTCATTGCATTGATCTTGTTGAGAAGGGCCTGGATATTGAGACGTCTCGGATAGAAAACCAATATATCATCAACGTATCTTAGCCAGGTAACGGTGTTGGGAATGAGGGTGCTGAATTTCTCTGTCTCCAAGTTTTCCATGAAGAGGTTGTCAAGCACAGCACTGAGCGGGCTGCCCATTGCCATCCCAAAGCATTGTTTGTAACAGTTGTCCTGATACTTGAAGAAGTTGAAATTAACACACAGTTCCACTAGATTGATGAAATCTAGAAGAGGTAAAGGGAGGCCGTGGTTTTCAGTGAGCCTCTGTCTCAGAATGTTGATTGCAGCATCAGTAGGAACGTTGGTAAAGAGGGCTGTGACATCGAAGGAAGCCATGCTTTTGTTTTTGACATTCAGGTTGGAAATTCGGGAGAGAAGGTCACCTGAGTGCTTGAGATGGGCTTGACTGATAGTGCCAAGAAGCGCTGAAAGGTATTTGGCAAGGTGGCTGGCTAGTCTGTGTGGTGCACTCCCTATGCCCGAAGTGATAGGCCGTAGTGGGATGCCAGGTTTGTGTGTCTTAGGAAGGCCATACAGGCGTGCTGGTTTCGGTTGACCTGGTAAAAGTTTAAGTAGTTTTTTGCCTTGTTCTGATTTTCGTAAGATGCTACGAGCCTTTTGAAGGAAAGTCCGGGTACTTTGAAGTAGCACTGATTCCGATACAGGCTGGTATGTGTTGGCATCATTGAGAAGATTTAAGACTTTATTGTTGTAGTCGACAGTGTTGAGTAACACCACACCACCACCTTTGTCAGCGGTTGTAATGACGATATCATCGTTGTTGGCCAAGTTCCTGAGTGCTTGGATGTATCTTCTGGGAATGACCGGTCTTAAAAGCTCAGTAGCTGCAGCAGTGATAATTCCTGGCATCCCACTACGGCCTATCACTTCGGGAATAGGGAGTGCACCACACAGACTAGCCGGCCACCTTGCCAAATACCTTTCAGCGCTTCTGGGCACTATCAGTCAAGCCCACCTCAAACACTCAGGTGACCTTCTCTCCCGAATTTCCAACCTGAATGTCAAAAACAAAAGCATGGCTTCCTTCGATGTCACAGCCCTCTTTACCAATGTTCCTACTGACGCTGCAATCAACACTCTGAGACAGAGGCTCACTGAAAACCACGACCTCCCTTTACCTCTTCTAGATTTCATCAATCTAGTGGAACTGTGTGTTAATTTCAACTTCAAGTATCAGGACAACTGTTACAAACAATGCTTTGGGATGGCAATGGGCAGCCCGCTCAGTGCTGTGCTTGACAACCTCTTCATGGAAAACTTGGAGACAGAGAAATTCAGCACCCTCATTCCCAACACCGTTACCTGGCTAAGATACGTTGATGATATATTGGTTTTCTATCCGAGACGTCTCAATATCCAGGCCCTTCTCAACAAGATCAATGCAGTTGAACCATCAATAAAGTTTACACTTGAACTCGAAAATGATGGCAAACTTCCTTTCCTCGACCTTCTACTGTGCAGATCTCCCGACAGTGACAAACTTCTCTTCAAAACCTACCAACAAGGACGATCTTATACACTTTTATTCACACCAAGACACCCGCACTAAGAGAGGAGTCCTCATTGGCTTCTTCTTGAGAGCTCTTCGCATCTCCCGCTCTTGTTTTCTAGAAGAAGAATGCACTTACATAACACAAGCCTTTACACGTCTTCAGTTCCCATCTTTCTTCAACCGAGATTGCAGACTCAAGGCACAAGCTATCCTCAACAAACCGCCCATGGAACAGCCCCCTAAACAGTTCATAGTACTCCCATGTGGCGATGTTGCCACGAATACTCGCCGGCCACTTGCCATGAGTAACATCAACGTTTCCACCATAAACACATCCTCTATCAAAGACCTCACTACGAAACGCAGCCCCACACCTCTAACTTCTACAGCAGGCGTCTACACTATCTCCTGTGGGTTCTGTCCCAAGAAATATGTAGGCGAGACAGGCAGAGATCTTGCAGTCCGCCTGAATGAGCATCGAAATGCCTCTAACAGAGACGATGTAAGGTACGCCTGTGTCCTCCACAGAGACTCCACGGGGCATTTGATGAACTGGAACGAGGCACAACTCGTTCTCACCGAACCAGACCTCAGACGCCGACGGTGCCTAGAAGCCTCACTAATCGCCGTCACCGACACTATAGAACGCAACGCTGGAAACTACAAAATTTCAAAAACATTGGCATACATGATACTTAAGCAGCACCAACCCAACAACTCAGGAGTCACATGATTTCATCGTCTACCCGTCCTCATTATAGGCAGAGGTTGTTTTGATAAGGACCTGCCTCGCATGGGCCAGTAGGCCTTCTACAGTGTTCCTCCATTCTTATGTTCTTATGACATTCCTCAGGTCACGTGCGTCACATCTCACTCTCCGCCTATATATATAATGTCTTTCTACCTCTGTATGTTAGAAGTGATCAAGGTCCCAGGACCGAAACGTTTTCTAATAAATATGTTATAGTGTTTGCTTACGTGTCTTTCTAAACCATAATAGCTTGTAAATAATAACGCTAAATGAGCTCAGACAGAATGATAACACTTAGCCTGTAAATAAATCGAAATTAATTCGCAACTCAACCTGTAAATTCAGCGGAATAAGAACACGGATACTGAAACTGGACACATGACAATGTGCTAGGTAGTGTGTGTGTGTGTGTGTGTGTGTGTGTGTGTGTGTGTGTGTGTGTGTGTGTGTGTGTGTGTGTACGATAAACAACAGCAACGTGGTGAAAAAAGACTCGTGAACAGCTCAGAACATATATTGAGGGAAAATATTTCGCCACGAGTGGCTTTTTAAGTTCTAACCTTGCATACTTTTTTTTTCCACATCTTGTAGGTATCACAATACTACTTACAGTACTTTCAAAACAGAAGATATAAGAGGCGGAGACGGTACCCAGTTCGTAATACTGGATTACTAGAAGGGAAGTACATCTAGGTAGCCCGTCTAGCGATGCACGGACGGAGGATCGAACTTTTACTACTTGTGCCTAATGATTCGCATGGATTACCAACAAGATGAGGAAGTAGACATGAGCATCACCTGGGTATCTTTATCTGAAGATACCCAGGTATTACGCGTGTGTCAAATGCCTCAAAATCCACTGTGTTGAGTGATAGGTAACAGAGGCTTTCTATCAACCTAGCCCAGGTACGCCCATGGAGACACACTTGAAGCATAAGACATAACGAGACAAATAGAACTTTGAGAGATGTTAAACTGAACCTTGAGAGGTACTACTCACCTTAGCAGCGCCACAGGACGTTCCTTCCAGAGCGGCAGCTGAGGGCGTCTTCAGGTAGCGTCCCTTGCGACACCAGATTTCTCGACACACATTCTGTGAATGTAACCACCCACTCTTACTACATGGAGGTAACCACCCACTCTTACTACATGGAGGTAACCACACACTCTTACTACATGGAGGTAACCACACACTCTTACTACATGGAGGTAACCACCCACTCTTACTACATAGAGGTAACCACCCACTCTTACTACATGGAGGTAACCACCCACTCTTACTACATGGAGGTAACCACCCACTCTTACTACATGGAGGTAACCACCCACTCTTACTACATGAGGTAACCACCCACTTTACTACATGGAGGTAACCATCCACTCTTACTACATGGAGGTAACCACCCACTCTTACTACATGGAGGTAACCACCCACTCTTACTACATTGAGGTAACAACACACTACAAAGGAGGTAACCACACACTCTTACTACAATGGAGGTAGTCACAAAATACAATGGAGGTAACCACACACTCTTACTACATGGAAGTAACCACACACTTACTACAAAGGAGGTAACCACACACTCTTACTACAATGGAGGTAACCACACACTACAATGGTGGTAACCACACACTCTTACTACATGGAGGTAACCACACACTTACTACATGGAGGTAACCACACACTCTTACAATGGGGGTTAACCACACACTACAATGGAGGCAACCACACACTCTTACTGCATGGAGGTAACCACACACTTACTACAATGGAAGTAACCACATACTACAATGGAGGTAACCACACACTCTTACTACAATGGAGGTAACCACACACTCTTACTACAATGGAAGTAACCACACACTTACTACAATGGAGGTAACCACACACTCTTACTACAATGGAAGTAACCACACACTCTTACAACAATGGAGGTAACCACACACTCTTACTACAATGGAGGTAACCACACACTCTTACTACAATGGAAGTAACCACACACTTGCTACAATGGAGGTAACCACACACTCTTACTACAATGGAGGTAACCACACACTCTTACTACATGGAGGTAACCACACTCTTACTACAATGGAGGTAACCACACACTCTTACTACATGGAGGTAACCACACTCTTACTACAATGGAGGTAACCACACACTTACTACAATGGAGGTAACCACACACTCTTACTACAATGGAAGCAACCACACACTCACTACAATGGAGGTAACCACACTCTTACTACAATGGAGGTAACCACACACTCTTACTACATGGAGGTAACCACACTCTTACTACAATGGAGGTAACCACACACTTACTACAATGGAGGTAACCACACACTTACTACAATGGAGGTAACCACACACTCTTACTACAATGGAGGTAACCACACACTCTTACTACAATGGAGGTAACCACACACTCTTACTACAATGGGGGTAACCACACACTTACTACAATGGAAGTAACCACACACTTACTACAATGGAGGTAACAACACTCTTACTACAATGGAGGTAACCACACACTTACTACAGTGGATGTAACCACACACTCTTACTACAATGGAAGTAACCACACTCTTACTACAATGGAGGTAACCACACACTCTTACTACAATGGAGGTAACCACACACTCTTACTACAATGGAGGTAACCACACACACTTACTACAATGGAGGTAACCACACACTTACTACAATGGGGGTAACCACCCACTCTTACTACAATGGAGGTAACCATCCATTCTTACTACATTGAGGTAACCACACACTCTTACTACAATGGAGGTAACCACCCATTCTTACTACATGGAGGTAACCACACACTCTTACTACATGGAGGTAACCACACACTTACTACAATGGAGGTAACCACACACTCTTACTACAGTGGAGGTAACCACACACTCTTACTACAATGGAAGTAACCACACTCTTACTACAATTGAGGTAACCACACACTTACTACAATGGAGGTAACCACACACTCTTACTACAATGGAGGTAACCACACGCTTACTACAATGGAGGTAACCACACACTTACTACAATGGAGGTAACCACACACTTACTACAATGGAGGTAACCACACACTCTTACTACAGTGGGGGTAACCACACACTCTTACTACAATGGGGGTAACCACACACTCTTACTACATTGAGGTAACCACACACTCTTACTACAATGGGGGTAACCACACACTCTTACTACAATGGGGGTAACCACACACTCTTACTACAATGGAAGTAACCACACACTACAATGGAGGTAACCACACACTCTTACTACATTGAGGTAACCACACACTCTTACTACAATGGGGGTAACCACACACTCTTACTACAATGGAAGTAACCACACACTCTTACTACAATGGGGGTAACCACACACTCTTACTACATTGAGGTAACCACACACTCTTACTACAATGGAGGTAACCACACACTCTTACTACAATGGGGGTAACCACACACTCTTACTACACTGAGGTAACCACACACTCTTACTACATTGAGGTAACCACACACTCTTACTACAATGGGGGTAACCACACACTCTTACTACATTGAGGTAACCACACACTCTTACTACAATGGGTGTAACCACACACTCTTACTACAATGGAAGTAATCACACTCTTACTACAATGGAAGTAACCACCCACACTTACTACAATGGAAGTAACCACACTCTTACTACAATGGAAGTAACCACACACTCTTACTACAATGGAGGTAACCACACACTCTTACTACAATGGAGGTAACCACACACTTACTACAATGGAGGTAACCACACTCTTACTACAATGGAGGTAACCACACACTTACTACACTGGAGGTAACCACACACTTACTACAATGGAGGTAACCACACACTTATTACAATGGAGGTAACCACACACTCTTACTACATGGAGGTAACCACACACTTACTACAATGGAGGTAACCACACTCTTACTACAATGGAGGTAACCACACACTTACTACAATGGAGGTAACCACACACTCTTACTACAATGGAGGTAACCACACACTCTTACTACAATGGAGGTAACCACACACTCTTATACAATGGAGGGTAACCACACACTCTTACTACAATGGAGGTAACCACACACTCTTACTACAATGGAGGTAACCACACACTCTTACTACAATGGAGGTAACCACACACTTACTACAATGGAGGTAACCACACTCTTACTACAATGGAGGTAACCACACACTTACTACACTGGAGGTAACCACACACTTACTACAATGGAGGTAACCACACACTTATTACAATGGAGGTAACCACAGACTCTTACTACATGGAGGTAACCACACACTTACTACAATGGAGGTAACCACACTCTTACTACAATGGAGGTAACCACACACTTACTACAATGGAGGTAACCACACACTCTTACTACAATGGAGGTAACCACACACTCTTACTACAATGGAGGTAACCACACACTCTTACTACAATGGAGGTAACCACACACTCTTACTACAATGGAGGTAACCACACACTCTTACTACAATGGAGGTAACCACACACTCTTACTACATGGAGGTAACCACACACTCTTACTACATGGAGGTAACCACACACTACAATGGAGGTAACCACACACTCTTACTACATGGAGGTAACCCACCCCACTTACTACAATGGAGGAACCACACTCTTACTACAAGGGAAAGGTAACCACACACTACAATGGTGGCAACCACACTCTTACTACAATGGAGGTAACCACACACACTTACTACAATGGAGGTAACCACACACTTACTACAATGGAGGTAACCACACACTTACTACAATGGAGGTAACCACACACTTACTACAATGGAGGTAACCACACACTACTTACAAACATGGAGGTAACCACACACTACAATGGAGGTAACCACCAAAACTTACTACAATGAGGTAACCACACAATCTCTTACTACATTGGAGGTAACCACACACTCTTACTACAATGGAGGTAACCACACACTTACTACAATGGAGGTAACCACACACTCTTACTACATTGGAGGTAACCACACACTCTTACTACATGGAGGTAACCACACACTTACTACAATGGAGGTAACCACACACTACAATGGAGGTAACCACACACTTACTACAATGGAGGTAACCACACACTCTTACTACACTGGAGGTAACCACACACTCTTACTACAATGGAGGTAACCACACACTTACTACAATGGAGGTAACCACACTCTTACTACAATGGAGGTAACCACACACTTACTACAATGGAGGTAATCACACACTCTTATTACAATGGAGGTAACCACACACTCTTACTACATGGAGGTAACCACACACTCTTATTACAATGGAGGTAACCACACACTCTTATTACAATGGAGGTAACCACACACTCTTACTACATGGAGGTAACCACACACTTACTACAATGGAGGTAACCACACTCTTACTACAATGGAGGTAACCACACACTTACTACAATGAAGGTAACCACTCAATCTTACTACAATGGAGGTAACCACACACTCTTACTACAATGGAGGTAACCACACACTCTTACTACAATGGAGGTAACCACACACTCTTACTACAATGGAGGTAACCACACACTCTTACTACAATGGAGGTAACCACACACTCTTACTACATGGAGGTAACCACACACTCTTACTACATGGAGGTAACCACACACTACAATGGAGGTAACCACACACTCTTACTACATGGAGGTAACCACACACTTACTACAATGGAGGTAACCACACACTTACTACAATGGAGGTAACCACACGCTACAATGGTGGCAACCACACTCTTACTACAATGGAGGTAACCACACACACTTACTACAATGGAGGTAACCACACACTTACTACAATGGAGGTAACCACACACTTACTACAATGGAGGTAACCACACACTTACTACAATGGAGGTAACCACACACTCTTACTACATGGAGGTAACCACACACTTACTACAATGGAGGTAACCACACACTACAATGGAGGTAACCACACACTTACTACAATGGAGGTAACCACACACTCTTACTACATTGGAGGTAACCACACACTCTTACTACAATGGAGGCAACCACACACTCTTACTACAATGGAGGTAACCACACATTTACTACAATGGAGGTAACCACACACTCTTACTACAATGGAGGTAACAACACACTACAATGGAGGTAACCACACACTTACTACAATGGTGGTAACCACACACTACAATGGAGGTAACCACACACTTACTACAATGGAGGTAACCACACACTTACTACAATGGAGGCAACCACACACTTACTACAATGGAGGTAACCATACACTCTTACTACAATGGAGGCAACCACACACTCTTACTACAATGGAGGTAACCGCACACTACAATGGAGGTAACCACACACTTACTGCAATGGAGGTAACCACACACTCTTACTACATTGGAGGTAACCACATACTTACTACAATGGAGGTAGCCACACACTCTTACTACAGTGGAGGCAACCACATACTCTTACTACAATGGAGGTAACCACACACTTACTACAATGGAGGTAACCACACACTCTTACTACAATGGAGGTAACCACACACTCTTACTACAATGGAGGTAACCACCTTAACTAATCACAGCCAGCAAAGTCCTTCTTTCCCTTTCCCAAGTGAAAAAAATTCCTACCATTATCACGTAACTTGCAAACAAACACGAAAAGGGTGGAGTTTCATCCCATAGTAAGCAAGTCCTGAAACTCCAGGCCAGTAGTTCAAAGCCCACCCGTTCCATTTGTTTGCAATTGTGTTATTGCGATTTCGTGAGTCATTATGTGACATTATTATTATTATTATTATTATTATTATTATTATTATTATTATTATTATTATTATAATCATCATCATCATCATAACTAAGCGCTAAACAGAGAAGGGTATGTAACTTGATGAAGGTCCAAGATGGACCGAAACATCGTCTACAATTTTCTCTCCCCCCCCACCAGGTGTGGGCTATTTTTTGAGAATAAGATTTGTGGGAAATAACCTTACATTGAATGGTTCCTGTGAGCTGTAGAAGTGTCTCCAGCCGTTGCCATACATGTAGTGGCACTGCTCGTCAGCGTTGAACCTCCTGCCAGGGGCCTTACCCTCGTGGTTCTTGCCATCCACACTGACCATGTGTGTGCTGGAGGAGTCCAGGCAGTGACCACTGGAAAGCACCAGCAAACACAGTAATAATAATAATAATAATAATAATAATAATAATAATAATAATAATAATAATAATAATAATTTCTTCAAGTACATGTACAAGGAATACAGGCCTAGCTGACATCAGTGACACAATAAGATAAGATAAGATTTCGTTCGGATTTTTAACCCCGGAGGGTTAGCCACCCAGGATAACCCAAGAAAGTCAGTGCGTCATCGAGGACTGTCTAACTTATTTCCATTGGGGTCCTTAATCTTGTCCCCCAGGATGCGACCCACACCAGTCGACTAACACCCAGGTACCTATTTGCTGCTAGGTGAACAGGACAACAGGTGTAAGGAAACGTGTCGAAATGTTTCCACCCGCCGGGAATTGAACCCGGGCCCTCCGTGTGTGAAGCGGGAGCTTTAGCCACCAGGCCACCGGGCCACCAATACTGTATATAAAGCTTGTAATGCAGAGGATTTCGGGCAAATTAGATCAATTTTGTCCTCAGGATGCATCCCACACCAGATGACTTACACCCAGGTGCCTATATTACTGCTAGGTGAAAGAGGACAGTAGGTGTCTTAAGGAAACACGTCCTAATGCTTCCATCACGGATTTCAGTGTGTGAGTTGAGTGCTCTAGTTACCGGAACAATACACAAATAATACGCACATAGGACTTGTCAATAGTCCAAATCGGATCGAAATGTCGTCATAAGCTTCTGTCTCCTAAGTGCGGATTATTTGTGTAAACAGATTAAAGTACAACTCACAAATCATAGAACGGATGGGACTCGAACCCATGGCAGGTCGTGAAACTCCCTTGGCCAAATATGACTAACACTCTAGATATGCGAACCTAGCAGAGGATGGAGCTATAACACTGAGTTTCCACTCCATTGAGTTAATACACTTCCCAATTTTCTTAACTGGTTGGTTGGTTAATTGGGTTTAAAATTTATCGAATACTAAAAGAGTCATTACAGCTGTATGTCACCTGCATTCTTTCGTTGGTTAATTAAGTTAAAGAGGCACGTAATAACATGTTCATTTTTCCACTTTAATCTACCTTGTCCATAATTACTATCTCATTTACTTTTTCTGTTTAACTTAACAAATCTTTGATGACAATTGTCCACAAAGATTTGTTAAGTTATACTATGAATTAAGGAGAGATCCTATACTTCACCTTACGAAACAAAGCAAATGCGATAGTAGTTATGGACAAGGTAGATTATAGTGGAAAAAATGAACATGTTATTAGAAGGTCCACGTCATCTGTTCACTACCAGTCAAGAATACTTTAGGTTGTGTATGGTGTGGTGATACTAGTTAAGTCACGGGTGGCTTTATCAGTCGAAGCGTTTTCTTTCATAAACATCCTGAACTGTACGTAGTGTCCTTTTCCACAAATTTTTAGTCCTAAAAGAGGGATTAAAGTGTACTCTCAATGTATAGACAGACATCTCTCGGTGTGTATATCCTGTAGGAATGTATTTGTGTTTCTGTCTCACTCGGGGTCGATTCATTGCTCCTGGCCCCGCCTCTTGACTGATTGCTACTAGGTCCTCTCTCTCTCTGCCCCATGAGCTTTATCAAACTTCGTCTAAAAGCTATGTATGGTTCCTGCCTCCTCTACGTCACTTTATAGGCTATTTCACTTCCTGGCAACTTTATGACTGAAGAAATACTTCACAGCATTGTGTGTGTATGTTACCCACCGGCTGAGAAGGAAGGCTTGCAGAGAGTCCCTGGAGCAGCTAGACCAGGTGGTGGCTCCTGACGACATGACGGGGGACATGATGAACTCGTTCCTCCTGCAGTGGCTAGCTGACCCACTGCCATCGTGCCTCATATTCAGACTGCCGAGGAGGGCTCTCTCAGTAGGCGAAACAGTCACCATCAATTCTAACTCACAAGACCCTTCAAGGTGGGTTCCTTGACGCTGGGGAAGAGCTCTTGGTCCAAGGAACTGAAGCTACTCTCCCATTCGTCGGATCAAAACCCAACTATTTCCTATCCACAGACGCTTTATGACCTCTATGAATTTAGCGCTTCCCCGTTATTAAAAATATAGGCAATCGTAGACGGATGACACTAACCTATTTATTTTCATCACACAAATCATAACTACAGAGGATTGAGTAGGGTTCGAATTAATTGTGTGGGACTGTCTTAGCCACTATCTTAGCCACAACGTCTAAGACTAGTAATTTAGACTGAAGGTCTGTATGAAGACAATATGCAGAACAAACTTTTACTGTGACAACGATTACGGAAAGTCAACACAGATAACATACTTGTGACCCATCTCGTGAGCAATGATGTACGCGGCGGTGAGAGAAGTGGCTTCATTGACGGTGCATGAGTAAGAACGAGAGCACATGCCCCCGACGTAGGCCAGACCCACAGTCGTGTTCTTAGAGGGCACAGCGTTCCAGAGGTCATCACCAGACAGCAGGAGGGCGTGATCCCAGCTCCGGGGCGTGTTCTGCATAGGTAACAACCACAGTTTATCAAAGGGAAGCGTAGGTTTCAGTGACGTGTTTTGGCAGGTTGGTGAAATTCTCATATCAGCTATCTTCACGAGATGAATTCTGGGTATTTTGCATGTCTGATTTAATTGGTTATGCGAAATATCTGAGAGGAGCTAAAAGTGTATATATTGTCTATGTCTAGACAAAACAAACCTATATGGGATCAAATTACATTGAACACAGGTGTTGTATGTTGTATACGGTTTTAGTGTTAAGGAATATAATAATAATAATAATGATAATAATAATAACTGAAACTCTCAAGAATCTAATAGGTTAGACTGTTTTAAAAAAATAGAATAGATAAATATGTGAGTGGGAATTGTTGGGTGTGAATAGGCTTTGTCTAACATGGGCCAGTAGGCCTACTGCATTGCTCTGCTCTTATGGGCCAATAGGTTCATCTAATGTCAGTTTAATAATCTTACTTATTTATGAGCCAGTATGATGCTCTGTTCTTATCTTAAGAGCCAGTAGGCTCATTTATTACTAAAAGAATAGAGTGAGAAAAGTAATTGACCTGGTCATTACCGCAGCAACTGACCTGGTCATCACCGCAGTAACTGACCTGGTCATTACCTACACCTACCTGTGGGTTAATGTTGGATTGCCATTTACAGAAATTTTTGAGGTACTTGAAGATGTCTCCCTTGGCACTGTGTGGTTCCCCTTTGGCCAGCACTTCTACTCTCTTCACCAAGAGTCCTATCTTCACGTCTCCCAGCGAGGAATCAGAGTACAGCCTGTGTACCTGTAGAGGACGAAGTAGTCACTAGGTATATAACTAATTGGAAAATCACTCGGCTCACAATCTGTATTTGTTCATTTGTTAAATACAGCATTTCCTGTGATGTAAATAGTCTATAAAACTGGTAAGTTGAGGAATTAGACACTTGTGCAATATTTTGGGAATCTTGTTTTAGGAAGCGTTCCACCAGCCAGTGGCTTCTCCAGGATGAGGGGCTTGCTACCTCAAACTCCTCGTGTTCCACCGTTCTTCTCTGTATTGGACTGAAGAAGCCACTAGCTGGCGAAACGTTTCCTCAGTAAAGATTTCCAAACGCACAAGTGTCATTTTTCCGTACTTACTGTATTTGTTCATTTGCTAGAAACATGACTTGCTGTATTTGTTCACGTGTTAAAAACTTTACTAAAGTTCCTCTTGGGAACGTTTTATTTTTGAAAATACACATTCCCATGTTTCTATTGTGTTTTATCTATACAAAGACTCGCCATTTTTTCCCTCACTACATACTCTATTTTATTCTCTTTATGTGGAATCCTGGACGGTATTATATATACAGTAATTTATGGAAATAAAGACACTGCAAGCAGAGACTCCTTTTAATTAACCGTATCTCCCAAAGTGGGTGTCTGCCATTGTCTACCATGCAAAACAACCATGGGGGTGGGGAAGTTGAATAATAGTTCGAGGCCTTTCGTGTTGCAATCAACATATCAGGAGCTTGTAATGTTGCAGAAAAGAGGGGGAGGGGGTCCAAGGAAATGCGATGACAGGAATCGCCTCTGCTCATTCGAGCAAAGGCGCTTTGTGATAGAATTTGCTTGGACCACCACCTCTTTTCTGCAACGTCGCAAGCTCCTGATGTGTTGATTGCAACACGAAAGGCCAAGAGCTATTATTTAACTCCCCCCATGGTTGTTTTGTATCTTTTATAGCTCGTTCGCCATTTTTGCACAACTGTCTACCATATATAAGTGATGTCATAGTTGAGGTACAGCAGCTTCAAGGGGTCAACTTACAGCATTAATTAAGGTCATGACAATCTCAACTACTTTGTCATCCGTGTTGTGGTTAGGGTAGCGCTTCCTCACGTAGGAGTAGAGTGGACGGTCCACAAACACTGCCAACTCCACCGTGTATGATGAGTCTTTCCGTGTCCGACGACGTACACGGCCTCCTCGCCCACCAGGTGTCTCAGAGGTGTCGCTGGAAGTCGTCAGATCACCGAGGGCACTCGAAGTCCTGTCTAACTGTGTTTCAGGAGTGTTTACATCGAACTCATCATCGAAGTCTGGCGGAAATGGAGGCTGAGCTGTGGAGGAAGTTAAATCATCGGGAAAGTGAAGGAGCCAAATATGACAGAAATATCACAATTAACAAAGACAAATCAAAGTCTCGATGTCATAAGTTTTTATCGTGACTTATTAAAGCAACGTCTGTTGAGCACCTTCACTCAAGGCCTGACGAACACCTTCACTCAAGGCCTGACGAACACCTTCACTCAAGGCCTGACGAACACCTTCACTCAAGGCCTGACGAACACCTTCACTCAAGGCCTGACGAACACCTTCACTCAAGGCCTGACGAACACCTTCACTCAAGGCCTGACGAACACCTTCACTCAAGGCCTGACGAACACCTTCACTCAAGGCCTGACGAACACCTTCACTCAAGGCTGTTAGACTGAACACTTTCGCCTCACTTCTCCGTTTCATCTAGTAAACAGTAGCCCCTGCTATTAGACTGAAAAAGTCTGATGTGCGGCCGAAACGTCTCGTCAGTAAAGATACTCAAGTGCCGCACAAGTGTCATATTCATCAAACACTTTTGAAAGTGTTGTCAACATCATTATCCAGATAAACCACAGTGGTCGCTTGCCAGGAAAAAAAATCTAAATTTTTTTTTTTGGGGGGGGGGGAATTTTTATTTTACCTTTATGCTACTGGCCTTTTCACTAGTAATTTTTTTTAGTTTATTTGTTTTCAGTTGGACGTATCTTAGCGAGTAATCTCATTTAGGCATAAAAACAAATTAGCGAGACAATTTAAAAATAGCAGTTTTTTTTTATTTTGCATTTTTGTTTATATTATATGACATCCTACGGGTTTAAAGCTTCCTTGTATATATTATAATGGATTCCCTAGGCAGTGTATGACCCTCATGGGCTTTGCACATCCCATAAATATACAGATAAAAATATAAACTAGTGACTGACCTGTATCTTGAGGGAGAGGAGACCTGAGAGGATACAACACTACGAGGGTATCTCTTACACCCCGGCGGTGACGCTGTCCTGGCTGATCCACCTCTTCCACTTGATAATTCTCTCCAGCTCTCGCTACCACACCCATCTGAAAAAATCCCCACTATCACAACAATAATAATAATAATAATAAATAATAATGATCTTTATTTCTACAAGTACTTGTACAACGTATACAGGCTTAGCCGACATCAGTGACATACTACTATATAGAAAGTCCCTTGTTATGCAGAACATTTCCGGCAAATTAGGTTAATTTTGTCACTAGGATGCGACTCTTAATAGTAGGCTAACACCCAGATACCTGTTTACTGCTAGGTGAATAGGAACAGCAGGTGTCATAAGGAAACACGTCCTAATGTTTCCATCCATACCGGGGATCGAACCAATGTGAACCGAGTGCGCTAGCAACCGAGCTACGGGACACCTAGCTTAGAGCTTAACCGCAACCACTTGCAGACTGTATATCAGTGAGTATAAACATTGGTGCAGCTGATCGTTGACAAATCTACGACTAAAATTAATAGAACTATCTGTAAAATGCTATTCACTACAGCCCTGACGACTTACCAGGTGACTACAGGTGGATATTACTGCCCAGGTGGTGCTGTTGCCGCCGGCGTAGAAACAGTCAAGCTGAACACTACTAAGCTTCTTATTGGGGAGGTCATGGAAACTGTGAATGAAACAATGTCAGGTAAGGTAGTTGTGCCGAATAGCTAAAACTTGCCATTTTGGCTTAAATAGCAATCCTGTTCTTGCCGAATAAGGCAAGTGACAATTTGCGTATGAAATAATTTCGCAAAAATCATTCTGAACTTAACGAAAAAAAATATATTTCATTCTGTTTATTATTAAATTATTATAAACTTATCTAAAATATATTTACTTGGATTGGGCTAAATTAAATTGCGCTTGTTATAAGGCTAGATAACTTTTCTAAGGTTCTTGTCATACAAAATTATTAATTTTTACATTAACATATATGAAAAATAATATGATATATATATATATATATATATATATATATATATATATATATATATATATATATATATATATATATATATATATATATATATTATATTTCTGCCTATCTCTTAGAGGTCAGGACCTACCTTAACTCAAGGTCAGGTGCAGCCAGATTGACCTTATCAAGGATCAGGTCGAGGCGAGAGTCTTTGAAGGGAAGACGAAGGGTCACTGAGGAGTTGTTGAGGTTGCGAAGGGAGCGGCGCTCCCTGCTGGACCACCTCAGAACCTGATACTCCCTCGCTACTCCACACCAACACAAATAGTTCAATAAATCAGCCAGTTGTCAATAGAATGCAAAGCAAATATGATTTAATCAGCGATATGCAGTTAGTAGACATTAATAATTCAATTAGCAAGACGCCATCACAGTACAAAAGCAACTAATTCATCCAACACTAAACTAATCCACCCAACACTAAACTAATTCACCCAACACTATAAATTCAATATGGAAATTGAATTAGAACATTTGGTAAAATTTCTATATCAGTAATGAAAAAAAAACAAGACATTAAAAATTACTAAATCAATTATGAAAATGCAACCTATTGCAAGAAAATACATCAAGTCAAAAATATGCAGGCAGAATGCAGGATAAAAATATATTAGAAAATTTAATGCTGTGGAGACCGAAGGTAGAGATGGAGATACACGAGAGTACATGAGGTTACATAAGAGTACATGGGAGTACATGTCAAAATACATGCAAATACATGAAAGTACACGAGAATATATGGGAGTACACGATTGTACATAGGAGAGACAGCAGAGGATTTGGAGGTACACACGTAGGGTGTCTGCTGAGAACTTTCTGCTTCTACCATGACTATAGACTACCATGTATTATTTAGGCGAGTGAATCAAGAATATCAAAGCAGAAGGCTCTCTCCCCATCCTCCATTTCCTCTGGTTACTGCCGGCATTAAACAGGGAAAAAAAAAAAACATTCTATACCATAGTGGAAAAATCACATGGAATTTACGGGAGAGATGAAAATGGATAGACGATTTCGACCGATACTATCTGTGCTAAATTACAACTGTTTCCATCTTTCATTACTGTTGTGTGAACCAGACGTTCCACCTCTGGTTACCAGCGGTTCTTCTGTGACTATCACAACCATCTACCTCTACTAATACTGTTGCTGCCTCGCTTGCCTCGTTATCAAATGATAGTCCTGATGTAGTGCTGAACATAAGATTCTGTCGACTCAATTACCCATTATTGAGTGTCCATGGGTCTGTGTGGGTTAAATTATTATTATAATCAAGGGTACGCCACCCGAGGATTATACGTTGCCTGGGGGATGAAGCATTCAGGCTTATCGGAACTGGAGCACGATCAATTCCTAAATAAAGCCCCTCACCAACATCGAGGAACCTTCCTTGAGGGGTGTGTGGGTTAAAGTGGGTAGGAAGTGGAGGTGGGTGGAAAGAAGTTGGGTGGGAAATAAAGGTTTATGAACTAACTTCATTTTTGATAGGTTCATTAAGAAAAATCTGATACATGATGACTCTTTCAGTGATGTCGTTGATCCTACAGCGTGGGTTCCGCAAGAAGCTACCGCTGGCGTGCACTGCTATAGATGGTAGTGTGGTTGTTAGGTAAGACACATATGCAACAGTTAGGTATCTTTATTATGAAACGTTTCGCCTACACAGTAGGCTTCTTCAGTCAAGTACAGAAAAGTTGATAGAAGCAGAAGATACTTGAAGACGATGTAATCAGTCCATCACCCTTAAAGTTTTGATGGACTGATTACATCGTCTTCAAGTATCTTCTGCTTCTATCAACTTTTCTGTACTTGACTGAAGAAGCCTACTGTGTAGGCGAAACGTTTCATAATAAAGATACCTAACTGTTGCATATATGTCTTACCTAACAACCTGTCGGTATTTTATACCATTTTAATGTTCATAGATGGTAGTGTTTACTAACACTCACGTGAATATGAAAAGTCACTGGCTGTATGATGGTCGGCCACTACAAAACGACTCATGACGTTCCGGTCAACCTGTATGAAGGCATTCCCGTCTCTACTTCAAGTTTATTGTCACCTCACATCTGCTTCGGTGTCCCACCGTCACCTCCGCCTCACAGTTACCTTCTGAATCTGACTTGCCCGTAACAAGGCACTAAAAGGGTCTTAACAAGCTAAAAGGGCCGTAACACGCTTGTAACAGAAGAAAATATTGTCTACAGTACCGCACAGCAAATGTTTCTTGCAGCTTCCTCACTACAGAATCAATAGCAACACTGAGCGGGTCATCGTGTTATACAAAGTGTCAGGAGATTTTTCCTGACGCATGCCACAACAGTAACATCGGGAAGGTGACAGAAATACTCACGTTTATGGATGGGAAAAGCCACAGCTTCGAGATGTGGGTCTAGAGGCTGGCCAGTGTCCGCAAGGTGGATCTGGAAAGATGGTTTCCTAAAGCGAGTCTATCCAATACTATGTGCTTGCTTTCAGTCTGAAGGAAGGAAGGTACAAACAGCCTGACTGATTAGAGGCCGAGATGCGATTTGCCCAAGGAGGACAGTTTCTACCACTCTTTGTGCTGTATAATCCACACGGGTTTAGCTCTTTGCATAAACCACTAAAACGGAGACCTTTGTATTCTATACAGAAAGAGGTTTAGTAATAGGTAATAATTACTTGAAGAAAAAGTGGATAAATAATGAATGACGAAGCACACAATGACAGCAGTTTGCTAGACTGTGTATTGGTGACCCTTTAACAGTTCAAGCTCCTGGGCCTCAAAATTGTTGGTTCGCCACTGAGTACGGATAACGAGAAATAGGAATGGGATAGATTTAAGAAAGCAGTGCTAGAATGCAAAGCAGAATTTTGTGATTATAAGTGAGTGGGTGATGACGGGAAGATGAGCAGTTGATGAAAAGGTCAAGTGGGAAGTAAGGGAGAAAAAGTTTATATATATAAAATAATTTACAATGTAAAGGAGATTATATATATATATATATAATATATATATATATATATATATATATATATATATATATATAAATATTATATATATATTATATATATACATATATATTATATATATATATATATATATATATATATATATATATATATATATATATATATATATATATATATATATATATAATATATATGTATATATATATATATATATATATATAATATATAATATATATATAATATATATATTATATATATATATATATATATATATTATATATATATATATATATATATTTAATAAATATATATAGGGAAGTACCACCTCTATAGCTGGAATGGGGACCCTCATCCTCAGAGAAGACAATAAACGTACCTCAGAGAAAACTCAAGGTTCTCCCCGGAGCTGTTTGAATATTTTCTTCTCCTACCACCCCTATATATGTTTTATTCTATGTGAACATTTATTAATAAACAAAATACATTTACAGAAAAAAAACATAAACATGAATACAATGGCACAATGTATCAAAGATGATGAATTTCCTCCAGCTCCTCCGAGGCTGGACGTGAGCCAAGTATGCAGCAAGCATTTCCCCTCTGGATGGCGATGCTGAGGCGCTGGAACATGAAAGGGTTTGCCCTTGGGTCCCTGGTGGTGTCGATGAGTCTGGAACCCAATTTTTTAAGGAAACGTGTGGCTTTTTTTCCCCATGATCCCAAGGTCTCTGATCCCACTGGGACAAATTGATACTGTTGGCTAATGTCCCTGTACTTGCTGATCTTGTACTCCTCCCTGTGGTCAGCAGCTCCTCCCTGTCCCCCACACTGTGATGGATATAGGTGTCAGCCAGTGTGGACACACGGGTATAGTCCCATGCTAAGAGCTTGCCATTCTTCCAAGGATAGATGGTGATCCCGTCGGGCGGTTTGCTGGGTTTGGGTATTGTTTGCTGCAAGTGATCGTGGCTCCCTCTGGGCAGGGCATACAGCTGTAGCAAGGGTTCTTCTTAATGATGTCGTTGACCTCATTGTGTCTTGCATGCCAGCCCTTGGTTTTGAAACAGTTAAGACCATGTAGACCGTATTGGTCTGCTTGCACTTCGCCGCAAATACACATATATTCTGTGTGAATTGGGGCAGCAAGGCGCAGAGCCACTGCAATACGGAGGTCTTAGGGTCGAGTCGCGTTCCCATTGCCCGATATGGGAACTGTTTGGAGGAAGTCCCCGGAGTGATGTGCACTCACAGCCTGGAGACGGGCAATCTCCCTATCTGATGTTGCAGCCCTGAGCATGTTGGCAAGCACCTTTTCAGCAATTGGCTATCCCAGCTTGACTGTTTGTGAGCCAGTGCTGCACTAGGGTTTGGTGCTGGAGCAGCAAGAGTCTCCCATTCGGTGATGGCACTGACATAGCTAGGGTCTTCTATTCCTGCTGAGTCACTGAGGGTGTCAGGAAGAATTGTCTTATCAACTCGTTTGATGCAATGGAAGAGGATAGGAAAGCTGGTAGAGCAATCTGGGAGGATCTGCGTACTCCTAGCCCTCCAAGCCTGACCGGAAGAGAGGCTTGCAACCACTGTCCATCGTCAAGGGAAAGATTCATACACTCTCTAGCATGGCCTTCAGGAGAGATAGTCATATTCCTGAGTTTTGGACTGCTGAAGGCTGGGGAGCATCTCAGAAAATATATATATTATATATATATATATTATATATATATATATATATATATAATATAAATATATATTAATTAAATATAAATAATATATATAATATTATAATATATATAATAATATATATATGTATATAATATAAAATATATATATATATATAATATTATATATATATATATATATATATATATATATATATAATATTATATATATATATATATATATATATATATATATATATAATATATAAAATATTATATATATACATATATATATAAATATATATAATATATAAATATATATATATATATATATATATATATATATAATATATATATTATATATTAATATATATATATATATATATATCTAAATATATATATATATATATATATATATATATATATATAATATATACATTATATACATATATATACATAATATTAATATACATATATATATATGTATATATATTTATATACATATATATATATATATATATATACTATATATATATGTATATAATATATATATATATATATACAATATATAATGTAATAATATACATATATATACACATATATATATATGATATAATATATATAATATAAATAATATAAAATATATTATATAATATATATTAATATATATATATTAATATATGAATATAATAATATATAATTATATAAATATATATATATATATATATATATATATATATATATATATTATAATATATATATAATATATATATATATTGATATATATTATATATATATATATATACTATATTATAATTATATATAAAAATATAAATATGAAAATATATTTTATCATATATATAAATTATAAATATATAAATTTATAAATAAAATTATATATATTAAAATATATTTTATATATTTTATATATATATATATATTATATAATATATATATTATATATATAATAAAATATATAATATATATATTATAAATAAATAATATATATATATATATATTTATAAAAATTTTTATAAAAATATATAATAATATTATAAATATATATATTATATATATATATAAAATAATATAAAAAATTACATATATAATATTTTATATTATAAAAATAAATAAAAAAATATCCCTATATATATATATATATATAAAAATATAATACATATATATATAATATATAATATAAAATATATATATATTATATATAATATAATATATATAAAAATATTATAACATATATATATGTTGTGCCGAATATGAAAAACGGGGTCAGTTAGCAAGAACTCATTTAAAATTAAGTCCCTTCTAAAATTTTCTCTTGTACGTTAAAGATATATTTTTTTCATTAATGTTAATGTAAAAATTTTTAATTTTGCCCCCCAAAAAACTTAAAAAAAATTACCCCAACCTTATTATAACAAGAACAATTTATTTTTGCCTAACGCAACTAATATATTTTAGATTTGTTTACAGTAATTTAATACTAAACAAACACAGTGAAACATATTTTTTTTTTCGTTAGGTTCAGAATAAATTTGACGAAATTATTGCATACACAAATTTTCACTTGTCCTATATGGCAAGATGAGCGTTGCTATTTAAGCCAAGATCGCAAATTCTGCTTATTCGGCACGACATGATATATATACATTATATATATATATATATATATATATATATATATATATATATATATATATATATATATATATATATATATATATATATAAATTTTATAATGTATAAAATTAAAAATCAAATATATAGATATTATATAATATATAATATTATAAGGGCAGGGATAAATCGTGGTGAAAGAAATGTAAAAGGAGAGCAAAATGAATGAAGAGTGAGTAATCAGTTAGATATTGCAAGTTTTGAGAGAACCGATAATTGGAGAAAGCCTAGAAAGCAAATAGAGTGGCAGTTAAAAGGAAAGGAGGAACGTTCGAGGATGGTGGAGAATTTGGAGAGATGGAAGATGTCTGAGATTTAAATGTTGGAGAGAGAGAGAGAGAGAGAGAGAGAGAGAGAGAGAGAGAGAGAGAGAGAGAGAGAGAGAGAGAGAGAGAGAGAGAGAGATTTCATGTATTGGACCAGGAGATCAAAAACTAGTTAAATTTATATTAATTCAATATAGAAATCTTTGTACCTTATTAGAAGTTAGGTTTTAATATATATTTATAAAATAAAGATGAACTGTTTGGGTTCCTTAAAGTACCTATCGAAGTTACGTGGAACATTACTTTTCATGTATATAGTCTCTCATTTAAAAAGACTCATTAACTGGCAATAACAAGTACAAGTTAAAATACTCTACACAGATCCAACATAATTAAAACTAGCACAGACATAGAACAAAACTTAGTTCGGACAGTCTTGAAGCTACAGTACACTAGGAATCGAGTGTCTCCTCAGAGATACTAGGTATATACAGCAGAATAAAGTAACTGGACGTAATCCACTCAAGTTTTGACTTCTCTTTACCAGTCTGTTACACAACTAGACGAGACGACCATGATCTAGTCTGCACTACACAGTAACTAGGGGATTTTGTTTTCTGAGTACCGAGACCTTTTCTCAGTGCAGGTAAGAGAGACTCCCTAGACAATGCCACTTGAACCACAGGTTAAGTAGGGTCACCCCAGACGCCACAAACAAGCAATAATCTTGAATGATTCATTGATAGTTACATACTTACATATATCAATGGCACAACAACAAAACACACACACACACACACACACACACCACACACACACACACACACACACACAACACACAACGCACACACACACACACAATATGTATATATATATATATATTATATATATATATATATATATATATATATATATATATATAATATATAAATATATATATATATATATATATATATATATATATATATATATATATATATATATATATATATATATAATATATATATATATATATATATTATATTTATATTTTTTTAACAAGTCGGCCGTCTCCCACCGAGGCAGGGTGACCCAAAAAAGAAAGAAAATCCCCAAAAAGAAAATACTTTCATCATCAATCAACTCTTTCACCTCACTCACACATTATCACTGTTTTTGCAGAGGTGCTCAGAACACAACAGTTTAGAAGCATATACGTATAAAGATACACAACATATCCCTCCAAACTGCCAATATCCCGAAACTCTCGTTTAGGGTTCGGGCATTGTACTTCCCATTTCCAGGACTAAGGTCCGGCTATATAAAAATAACCGGTTTCCCTGAATCCCTTCACTAAATATTACAGTGCTCACACTCCAACAGATCGTCAGGTCCCAAATACCATTCGTCTCCATTTACTCCTATCAAACACGTTCACGCATGCCTGCTTGAAGTCCAAGCCCCTCGCCCACAAAACCTCCCTTACCCCTTCCTTCCAACCTTTCCGAGAACGACCCCTATCCCGCCTTCCTTCCCCTACAGATTTAAATGCTCTCCATGTCATTCTACTTTGATCCATTCTCTCTAAATGACCAAACCACCTCAACAACCGCTCTCCAGCCTCCTGACTAATACTTTTATTAACTCCACACCTTCTCCTAATTTCGCACTCCGAATTTTCTGCATAATATTTACACTACACATTGCCCTTAGACAGGACATCTCCACTGCCTTCAACCGTCTCCTCGCTGCTGCATTTACCACCCAAGCTTCACACCCATATAAGAGTGTTGGTACTATTATACTTTCATACATTCCCTTCTTTGCCTCCATAGATAATGTTTTTTTGTCTACACATATACCTCAATGCACAACTCACCTTTTTTCCCTCATCAATTCTATGATTAACCTCATCCTTCATAAATCCATCCGCCGACACATCAACTCCCAAGTATCTGAAAGCATTCACTTCTTCCATACTCCTCCTCCCCAATTTGATATCCAATTTTTCTTTATCTAAATCATGTGATACCCTCATCACCTTACTCTTTTCTATGTTCACTTTCAACTTTCTACCTTTACACACACTCCCAAACTCGTCCACTAACCTTTGCAATTTTTCTTTAGAATCTCCCATATGCACAGTATCATTAGCAAAAAGCAACTGTGTCAATTCCCATTTTGTATTTGATTCTCCATAATTTAATCCCACCCCTCTCCCGAACACCCTAGCATTTACTTCTTTTACAACCCCATCTATAAATATATTAAACAACCGTGGTGACATTACACATCACTTTCTAAGACCTACTTTTACCGGGAAGTAGTCTCCCTCTCTTTTACACAACCTAACTTGAGCCTCACTATCCTCATAAAAACTCTTTACAGCATTTAATAACTTACCACCTATTCCATATACTTGCAACATCTGCCACATTGCTCCTCTATCCACTCTATCATATGCCTTTTCTAAATCCATAAATGAAATAAAAACTTCCCTACCTTTATCTAAATACTGTTCACATATATGCTTCAATGTAAACACTTGATCTACACATCCCCTACCCACTCTGAAACCTCCTTGCTCATCCGCAATTCTACATTCTGTCTTACCTCTAATTCTTTCAATTATAACCCTACCGTACACTTTTCCTGGTATACTCAGTAAACCTATTCCTCTACAATTTTTACAATCTCTTTTGTCCCCTTTCCCTTTATATAAAGGGACTATACATGCTCTCTGCCAATCCCTAGGTACCTTCCCCTCTTTCATACATTTATTAAACAAAAGTACCAACCACTCCAACACTATATCCCCCCTGCTTCTAACATTTCTGTCATGATCCCGTCAGTTCCAGCTGCTTTACCCCCTTTCATTCTACGTAATGCCTCACGCACCTCCCCCACACTCACATTCTGTTCTTCTTCACTCCTAAAAGATGGTATACCTCCCCGGCCAGTGCATGAAATTACTGCCTCCCTTTCTTCGTCGACATTTAAAAGTTCCTGAAAATATTCTCGCCATCTACCCAAAACCTCCATCTCCCCATCTACTAACTCCCCTACTCTGTTTTTAACTGACAAATTCATTTGTTCCCTAGGCTTTCTTAACTTGTTTAACTCACTCCTATTTTTTTCTTATTTTCATTAAAATTTCTTGACAGTGCCTCTCCCACTCTTCATCTGCTCTCCTTTTGCACTCTCTCACCACTCTCTTCACCTTTGTGTAAAGTAAAAGGACACAAGTGCAACTAATGTGACATTTTATTGTCGCAACGTTTCGCTCTCCAGGAGCTTTATCAAGCCATTACAAACAATACATGGACACAGAGGGTATATAAAGGCTCAGAGTGAGGTGCAATACTAGTGAGGTACCATTTCGATGTTCACTAGTGGTAGAAGTAGTAGTAGTAGTAGTAGTAGTAGTAGTAGTAGTAGTAGTAGTAGTAGTAGTAGTAGTAGTAGTTGTAGTGACAAAAGTAATACAATATGGTAGAGCAATTAATTAACCTTTCTTTTCCTCTCCATATACTCTACTCTTCTTATAACACTTCTGCTTTGTAAAAACCTCTCATAAGCTAACTTTTTCTTATTTATCACACCCTTTACTTCATCATTCCACCAATCACTCCTCTTTCCTCCTGCACCCACCATCCTATAACCACAAACTTCTGCCCCACATTCTAATATTGCATTTTTAAAACTATTCCAACCCTCTTAAACCCCCCCCCCCAACTACTCATACTTGTACCAGTCCACCTTTCTGCCAGTAGTTGCTTATATCTTACCCGAACTTCCTCCTCCCTTAGTTTATACACTTGCACCTCCCTCTTACTTGTTGTTGCCATTTTCCTCTTTTCCCATCTACCTCTTACTCTAACTGTAGCTACAACTAAGTAATGATCCGATATGTCAGGTGCCCCTCTATAAACGTGTACATCCTGGAGCCTACCCATCAACCTTTTATCCACCAATACATAATCTAACAAACTACTTTCATTACGTGCTATATCATACCTTGTATATTTATTTATCCTCTTCTTCATAAAATATGTATTACCAAACCTCTTTCTACACATAGCTCAATTAAAGGCTCCCCATTTTCATTTACCCCTGGCACCCCAAATTTACCTACTACTCCCTCCACAACATTTTTGCCCACTTTAGCATTGAAATCCCCAACCACCATTACTCTCACACTTGGTTCAAAACTCCCCACGTATTCACTCAACATTTCTCAAAATCTCTCTCTCTCCTCATACACTTCTCTCTTCTCCAGGTGCATATACTCTTACTATAACCCACTTTTCACATCCAACATAATCCTTGAATTAATACATTTATAGTCCCTCTTTTCCTGCCATAACTTATCCTTCAACATTATTGTTACTCCTTCTTTAGCTCTAACTCTATTTGAAACCCCTGACCTAATCCCATTTATTCCTCTCCACTGAAACTCACCCACCCCCTTCAGCTTTGTTTCACTTAAAGCTAAGATGGTATAAACCTTGGCAATAAATACCGACAAGTTGGTTTAGAAAGACACGTAAACAAACACTATAACATATTTATTAGAAAACGTTTCGGTCCTGGGACCTTGATCACTTCTAACATACACTTCTAACCCGTCCTCATCATAGGTAGAGGTTGTTTTGATAAGGACCTGCCTCGCATGGGCCAGTAGGCCTTCTACAGTGTTCCTCCATTCTTATGTTCTTATGACATTCCTCAGGTCACGTGCGTCACATCTCACTCTCCGCCTATGTATATAATGTCTTTCTACCTCTGTATGTTAGAAGTGATCAAGGTCCCAGGACCGAAACGTTTTCTAATAAATATGTTATAGTGTTTGCTTACGTGTGTGTGTGTGTATGTGTGTGTGTGTGTGTGTGTGTGTGTGTGTGTGTGTGTGTGTGTGTGTGTACACGGTAGGAGTAGAGAAGATCCAGATGTGTGTGGAAAATGAATTAGGCAGAGGCTACTATGAAAGGGGATAAAGCAGCTGGAACAGATGGGATTAAGGCTGAAATGTTAAAAGCATGTGGGGATATGACTTTGAATAAACTGGTGTTTTTGTGGTGTTTCCAGTGTTTTATACATCATAGATGTATAGACTCTCGATCAGATGATGACCCGTTGGCCTACCGGAACTGGGTTTTCACATCCCATTTTTTTAGGGCATATTTAAATTTAATGAGGATATTGATCTCTCTGAGATAACAAGAGAGAATGCCACTTTAGTTTAGCTTCAAAACTGGTGTTTCTTAGTGGACGATTAGAAATAAATGTGAGTATGTCCTAAAATGACATTCTTATTGAAGGAATTGTAATAATAATTTCCATATCAAGACTTGTGAATTTCTCCTCTGATTTGCTTCAGATCATCAGTGCTAATATTTAACTGTATAACAAACTTATGCCGCACTGTATACTATTCCAATCGCGTGATGAAAGGGGCTGGGGTTATGAAATACAAGGATACCTTTCTCAGATCGCGCAGCGACCGAAATCCATCTAGCTATTATCATCATTATATTATACATAGGACAATAATTGGTTATAAGTTGTCCTGAGGAAGAAATCTGAGTGAACTAGAGATATATATATACTATACACACCTGCATTCCTGTGACCAATGACGCGAAGATACTAAATAATAATATCCAGGTTGAAACACTCATTATATTAAGCTGATGTGTCAGCATCTGAGTATTGGAAAAAGAAAAATGTTAACAAGTAGTGTGATGTTTGTCTGTCCGATGATAGTTACAAACTAGGTAATTCTACGACACCTTCAATGTGAAAGTCCATCGGCAGGTGAAACATGTGAGTTACCGACACACTGGGCTAGTTATCTGCTTCTGTTTCGCATTCTAGTAGCTTTCCACCCTTCAGAGTCCCTACTGAAAAGCGGAAATGCTAATTTTCTTTACCTTAAAAAGAGCGCTGGGGGATGCAGCTTCCCAGAATGCAAGCATCTTGTAAGAACAGGAGGTGGTTGATAATCATGCGAACTGGCACTTGTGTTGGCCCCATGGCTGGCTGAATGAAGCTGTGTCCGGAACTATTGTTCCTGTGTGGCACCTCATTCACCTTGTCCAGGGAGGAAGCGCCGGTCACCAGCTGATGACGCTACCTGACGCAAGAGACCTCACTTCCTGAGCGCCAACACCGTGGCCTATTGACACTCATATCATTATCATTATTATTATTAATTATTATTATTACTATTATTATTAAAAATACGTTTCTGAGTGATGCTTTTGAGGAAATAATTAAAAGAAATGTGCTTTTTTTTCTGCAAACTGAATTGTTTGCCATCTTAATGGTACTGAAGTTAACTTAATGATACTGAGATTGACTCTCTGATTATTTCTGACTCTGCGTCATCACTGAAGACTTTTGGCTCACATAATGACTAACAACAAGCTTATTGGAGAAGCCAAGTATAGATACTCGAAAATCCGGGAAAAAATAATTACTGTAATAAAGTTGGTAGAATTACCGACAATATGTAAAGTAAAAGGACACAAGTGCAACTAATGTGACATTTATTGGGCAACGTTCGCTCTCAGGAGCTGTTTCAAGCCATTGCTTGATAAACTCTGAGAGCGAAACGTCCACAATAAGTCATAGTGACTTGTGTTTTACTTAAATAACTGAAATGTTATGAATTCATACATATGATGCTGATAAGTTGTAGTACAAAAAAAAAAATACATGAAGGAATATAATATAAGTGTCTGAGCTAGATAATGGAAAAAGAACGATTATGTCATGACGTGAATATGTGGAGCAACTTGCGATGTGAACAGACTGATGGTGTAGTGGCCAGGCTTAGGCTTGGTTACAGGTACTTTTGGCAATTTGTCAGATATACAAATGAGAAGCATGTGACCAGCACCATGGTCGCTATCTTGAATACTATGAGCTTAATTGTCCACTTACTGAGGAATATATAGTATAATAACCTATGCGATATCTTATTAATGAAAATAAGATACTAGATATATTAAGAAAATTTCCAATATTTGCTTGCAACAGACAAGCCAACTGTAAATATAAATCCAGATGTTCTCCTGGAAACCATTTTTGGGGACCAGTTCCAAGGCCTTTTGTGTATCCATATGCTCTTGTACTACCAGCCACAGGATAGATATGGGGTCCACAATAAACTAACCACTTCGGTGGTTAAATCTAAAAATCCATAATTTTTTTCAGTAGTCACCCATGTTTTTCTTGAAGAAACATATCGCTCTTGAAGACATATTCGTTCATCAAGAAGTTTCTCGCCCCTAAAAGAAACATGTCATGGTCCTGGAGAGATGTCCTCCCCATAAAAGATCCTCCAGAGTGGGAGCCATAATGCTGATGAAAAGTTCTTGATCCAAGGAAGCAAAGATACTCTTTCTTTCCTCGGATTAAACCTGATTATCTTCCATTCCACAGAAGTTTCTCCGTGACAACAACGAACAAGAACAAGAACAAGAACAACAACAACAACAACAACCAACAACAACAACAACAACAACAACAATAATAATAATAATAATAATAATAATAATAATAATAATAATAATAATAATAATAATAGTAATAATAATAATAACTTCCATTCCACAGAAGCTTCATGACTATAATGATTATGATAATAATTATAATTATTATTGTAATGATGAATACAAGCATGCTGGAGGGTATCAGAAATTCCCGTCCTTCCGCGCGGTCTTCCGTATAGCGGAATGAGGGCATTGTTCAGCGTAGCTGCCGGAACTCAACACCCGGATGCTGTAACGCAACACCCAGCTGCCGGTACGCAACACCCAGCTGCCAGGACGGATCGCCCAGCTGCCGGAACGCAACACCCAGCTGCCGGAACGCAACATCCAGCTGCCGGAACGCAATACCCGGATGCTGGAACGCAACACCCAGCTGCCGGAACGCAACACCCAGCTGCCGGAACGCAACACCCGGATGCTGGAACGCAACACCCAGCTGCCGGAACGCAACACCCAGCTGCCGGAACGCAACACCCAGCTGTCGGAACGCAACACCCAGCTGCCGGAACGCAACACCCAGCTGCCGGAACGCAGCACCCAGCTGCCGGAACGCAACACCCGACCTCCGAGACGCAACACCCAGCTACCGGAACGCAACACCCAGCTGCCGGAACGCAACACCCAGCTGCCGGAACGCAACACCCGGCTGCCGGAACGCAACACCCGGCTGCCGGAACGCAACACCCGACCTCCGGGACGCAACACCCGGCTGCCGGAACGCAACACCCGGCTGCCGGAACGCAACACCCGTCCTCCGAGACGCAACACCCAGCTACCGGAACGCAACACCCAGCTGCCGGAACGCAACACCCGGCTGCCGGAACGCAACACCCGGCTGCCGGAACGCAACACCCGGCTGCCGGAACGCAACACCCGGCTGCCGGAACGCAACACCCGACCTCCGGACGCAACACCCGGCTGCCGGAACGCAACACCCGGCTGCCGGAACGCAACACCCGACCTCCGAGACGCAACACCCAGCTACCGGAACGCAACACCCAGCTGCCAGAACGCAACACCCGGCTGCCGGAACGCAACACCCGGCTGCCGGAACGCAACACCCAGCTGCCGGAACGCAACACCAGGCTGCCGGAACGCAACACCCGGCTGCCGGAACGCAACACCCGCTGCCGGAACGCAACACCCGACCCGACTCCGAACGCAACACCCAGCTACCGGAACGCAACACCCAGCTGCCGGAACGCAACACCCGGCTGCCGGAACGCAACACCCGGCTGCCGGAATGCAACACCCAGCTGCCGGAACGCAACACCAGGCTGCCGGAACGCAACACCCGGCTGCCGGAACGCAACACCTGGCTGCCGGAACGCAACACCCAGCTGCCAGAACGCAACACCCGGCTGCCGGAACGCAAAAACCCCGGCTGCCGGAACGCAACACCCGGCTGCCGGAATGCAACACCCGACCTCCGAGACGCAACACCCAGCTACTGGAACGCAACACCCGGCTGCCGGAACGCAACACCCGGCTGCCGGAACGCAACACCCGGCTGCCGGAACGCAACACCCAGCTGCCGGAACGCAACACCCGACCTCCGGGACGCAACACCCGGCTGCCGGAACGCAACACCCGACCTCCGGGACGCAACACCCGGCTGCCGGAACGCAACACCCGACCTCCGAGATGCAACACCCAGCTACCGGAACGCAACACCCAGCTGCCGGAACGCAACACCTGGCTGCCGGAACGCAACACCCGGCTGCCGGAACGCAACACCCAGCTGCCGGAACGCAACACCCGACCTCCGAGACGCAACACCCAGCTACCGGAAACGCAACACCCCAGCTGTCGGAACGCAACACCCAGCTGCCGGAACGCAACACCCAGCTTCCGGAACGCAACACCCAGCTGCCGGAACGCAACACCCGACCTCCGAGACGCAACACCCAGCTACCGGAACGCAACACCCAGCTGTCGGAACGCAACACCCAGCTGCCGGAACGCAACACCCAGCTGCCGGAACGCAACACCCAGCTGCCGGAACGCAACACCCGGCTGCCGGAACGCAACACCCGGCTGCCGGAACGCAACACCCGGCTGCCGGAACGCAACACCTCGACCTCCGGGACGCAACACCTGGCTAGACCAAATACCAGGCGCATAAAAATAAACAATCTGCAGCACCAAGACAAGTGTACAACACTTCGGGTGTTTAATAAACAGATGTTTCGCACATTAGTAACTAATGCATTAAGAAAACGCCCCTTGTGGGCGAAACGTCTCCTGATATGATTGCGAATGCGTCATTATTGGAAGATACGATGATACAGAGGCATATGCAGACATGAAACAAACAAACAAAAGCACAAACAAGTAATATGATAAATATCGACACTGAGCGAAACGTTCTTTTAATAAGGGTAATACAGGGGAGTGGGTAATCATATTTGTTCCAAGGAAGGGGAAGGTATTATTATTATTATTATTATTATTATTATTATTATTATTATTATTATTATTATTATTATATTATTATTATATTATTATTATTCTTATTATTATTATTATTATTATTATTATTATTATTATTATTATTATTATTATTATTATTATTATTATATTATTATTATTATATTATATTATTCTTATTCTTATTATTATTATTATTATTATTATTATTATTATTATTATTATTATTATTATTATTATTATCATCGTTATTATTTAGGGATTAGGCAAAAAATTACATTTTATTTATATGCTAATTGAAGTGTTAAAACCGTATGGGTGCTTCAGAGTCTTCAGTCGTGGAAGGTCAGTCCTCTGAGTTGTTTATTTCAGATCAACACCATGCTCAGCCCTTCTAGGGCAGGGTAGGTGCCTGAGCCAGAGCTTGCAGTTCACAAGACTGTCATTCCCATTAACCCCCTTGGGGCGGGGATGGCAGACCAGAGAGGCCTAGCTTGTGGCTAGGCCTGGGGACAGTTGGTCCCACCGATGAGGGGGTAATTGCACCTCCTCCCATAGGAGACTTAGGTCTCACACATTCCCTCGACAGGGAGCCAAGGCCGGGCCACCACTTGGAAAAGGCCCGGGCCGGGAGAATACCGGCGAATCAAGAAAAAAAAAGTTGCATGTCATATTTGTAGGTGTGTATGATGTTTGTAGGTGTGTATGATGTTGAGTAGCGGTGTATGATGTTTGTAGCGGTATACGATGTTTATATGTAGAGGTGTATGATGTTTGTATGATGGCGTTTAGTGGTGTATGATGTAAACACGAGGTAGCACGCGTGATGCCTGTGTGTCCGGCTGCTGATGTTACATCCTCTTGTCGTACTTTCATCTGCTCCCGTTCACGCATTTCCTCTTTCACCACCACCACCACCACCACCATCACCATTACCACCACTCACCACCACCATCACCACAACTACCACCACTCTGACTTTTTTGGGTTATCCTAGGTAATTTTCACTATGAATGATAATTGTATTTATGTGTACATGTGCCTAAATAAACTAACTTACACCACCACCATCACTACCACCACCATCGACAGTACTAACACCACAGCTAGCCAAATGGTGGTAGCGATGGTGGTAGCACTGTGATGGCTGATTAAACGGTAATAATATCTGGCTAGTCTGGTTGTGTGTGGCGTTGACAGTTGTGTTGGTGAAAGTGGTAGTAGTGGAATTAGTTGCAATGGTTGGTAGTTGTAGTAGAGTTGGTGGCTGTGATAGTGTCAGTGTTGCACAGGTGAACTGAGTGAAGGTTGATACATCATTGTGAGGGATGGTGACGGAAGCTCATGCGGGTGGCTGCAGCCTTGTATGTTATTGTGACGTTAGTGTCTGACCTACACACACACACACACCACACACACACACACACACACACACACACACACATACCTCATACACACACACACACACGGAGGTTATTCAATAATTCAGTCTCATGGTATTCAGAATGTTGAATAACATCCGAAGAAACTAAGGGGGATGACTCCGTACGCAGCTTTAAGAGCAGTTATGGTCGACAGTTACCTACAACAGAGGGATGCAGAGCTGTAGGTTTCAGAAAATTCTATAAGACATTCTTATGTTAGGTAAAAGGACACAGATGCATATAATGTGACATTTTATTGTGGCAACGTTTCGCTCTCCAATAGCTTTGTCAAGCCGGCTTGACAAAGCTCCTGGAGAGCGAAACGTTGCCACAATAAAATGACACATTAGTTGCACATGTGTCCTTTTACGTAACATTTTGTCTGTAATCCTATCATTATTATCACTCTTGAGTCAACCTTATCTTAAACTTCCTCTACAGCTCTTCCCGCCCACACCAGTTTGTTCACACTATATAATTCCCTCATCTTGTTCCATATTTTGTACGTAAACAAAGTATCCCAACAACTTTTTCTTCACTCATTTAATTATACGGTTCATAGCATCGCACTCTCTTCTAATTTCTTCGCTACTACTCCACTCAATGTTCACAACACTCTTTAATCTCAGACACGACACTGCTTCCAGCCTCCAGCCTCCAGCCTCCAGCCTCCAGCTTCCAGCTTCCAACTTCCAGCCTCCAGCCTCCAGCCTCCAGCCTCCAGCTTCCAGCCTCCAGCCTCCAGCCTCCAGCCTCCAGTTTCCAGCTTCCAGCCTCCAGCCTCCAGTTTCCAGCTTCCAGCCTCCAGCTTCCAGCCTCCAGCTTCCAGCTTCCAGCTTCCAGCCTCTAGCCTCCAGTCTCCAGTTTCCATCCTCCAGCTTCCAGCCTCCTCTTCAAAATTCACAGACACACACACACACACACACACACTTGAATTTCACTCTCCGCCGTCGTCAAATTAAGAGAAAAGTTTTTTTTTCTGAACACCTGAAGCTCTACCACTGTGGGTTTTGGAATTATCCAAAATGTTCCAGGATGCTGAGAATAGGTTAAACAACTTTGGTCATGGGGCACCTGCAAATTCCAGTAGTTCCTAGAATCTGCTCCTCGTTACCGTACACAAGCAATGAAAATTTTAATCCTATCAGTTAAGCAAAAAAAAAAAAAAATAATAAGGCCACTTAAAGGTCCTCCTTCGGAGAGAAGTAATTCTTGACGTCCAGGGATGAGCTTTATGTAGTCCCACAGTTCGTATTTTAAGAAGATTGTTCCACCAAAGATAAAGCATATTATAGCTAAAACGCAGAACACTACCTTCAGAAAATGCAGGTGGAAGGACAGTCTGACTGATCACTGAAGTTGGTTTACGTTCTCATGTGTTGTGTGTGTAAAAAGGAAGTTTGATTAGCGTGAGTGTTAACATGGCTGTAAACATAGATGACTCATCAATGATATCTTCAGTGTGGACGTAAATATGAATGATTCGTTTAACAGTATGATAAAAATTTGTCCGTCATAGAAATTTGGGCCAAGATTTTTTTTATAAAATATTCCTAAAACCTAAACTTTTTGACAAAATTCTACTTATGATATGGGAATTTTGAAAACTATATATATTATTGAATAGGAATATATTAAGATAGTAAAAGTTTCACTATAGCTTTTGTCTATAGAAAAAAAAATAGGAATAACGTATTGCAAGGTATATACATCGAGATGTGTATGTCTCTCAGAGTATATACACCGACAGTTAATTTCTATCCTAATTTTAAGGATTAAAGTAATCTTGACTGATGGTGATCAGTTAATGAAAAGCCTTGATGGACATTGCATAGCCGATAGGCTTCGGATCTTTTATATCCAAGCTACAAATTAAAGATCAAATTTACGATGTTTCGGTCCGTCATGGACGTTTTTTAAGTCGCGTCTTGTTAATGACCCAAAATGAATCAAATACCGTTCCTACTTCATGTCCACTATGTGGCTTAGTTGTGAATTGCTGCTGTCACAGTACTGTAGTTGTGATCCTTAGAGTGACTATGTATCTCGGGGTGGTGAGAAAACTTAGAGAAAACGGGCACTTTGTTGCGTGTGCGCGAGTGTGGGCGTCAGTAGCAGCCTGTTGCTCTGATCAATACAACGAAGTCCGATATGTCACCCCCGAACAGTCCACCACTTTAGGAGCTCCTTGCATCATGAATCACAACCTCGTGCATCCGTAGCATAGTTCGTAGGCTATACTGAGCCTCCGTTAGTTTTTACCTCCAGGAATTCTAGGGAAAATAGCTGCTAGCCACGCTCTGGGGTTCGGGAACGAAGCTGACTCTTTCGCTCTCGGTTTCGGATCCGGACGAGGGAAAGTCCTGTGGGAGTGGGAGATGTTGATGTTCGAATGCTGGAGACACGTCGATCCGTCATAACCGTCTGGAATTCTTGGAAACTCCTCTATTAGTTGCTGAGAGTGTCGATGGATAAGTTAAGGTGGATTCTAGTGGTGAGTTGTTGTGGTCGAGTAGCTGAGAAAAGGCAACAATGTGGAGAACTCTGCGACAGCTGGATCATCTGCTGACTCCCTGAGAGTATGTGTCACCAGCATCTGGTTTTTAACGTGCGATAACTGGAAATTGCTAAATTGTGTAAATTGATGGAGATAAGTGTTGGGTGGAAGGAAAGATGGCTTGTGTGGCTGTAGTCATCGGCGTCTCTGTGGAACATGACGCCAGTAAAGCAAGGCGTCTTTATGAAACACGACGCCAGTAAAGCAAGGCGTCCTTGTGGAACACGACGCCAGTAAAACAAGGCTTCCCTGTGGAACACGACGCTAGTAAAACTAGGCGTCCCTGTGGAGCACGACGCCTGTAAAACAAGGCGTCTCTGTGGAGCAAGACGCCAATAATACAAGGTGTCTCTGTAGAACACAACGCCAGTAAGTTGGGGCGTCAATGTAAAACACGACGCCAATAAGATAAGGTGCAGGAATCCCACAAGCCAAGACTTCAAAGCCAAGGGGATTCAAGGGCGTGTAGTCCCCTCCACACGCCCTCTTGTCAGGCTCAGACACCCTCCTGGCCATCCCACACGCCCTCCTAAGAGATTCAAACGCCCTCCTGGCACGCCCTTCTATCACGCCCACATCATGTTTGACGGCACAACGCCCAACGTGGTCACCCCCGACGCCATGACGGAGGGACGCAGGTGAGTTCCTCTCACCTCAGTCAAAACAAACAGGTAGAGGAGTAACGGGGAGGGAAAAAATGGGGTAGGTAGAGGAAGGTAGGGAAAGATAAGGAAGGATAGGGAATAATAAAGGAAGAGAGATAAGGAAGGGTAGAGAATACCAGAGGAGGAGAGATAAGGTCAGGAATAGTAAGGGAGGATTGGGGAGGATAGAGGAGTATAGGTAAGGGTAAGGAGAAATAGGAGAGATTAGGTGAGGGAAGGAAAAGATAGGGAAGGGAGGTATAGGGTTAATGGATGAAGACATTGCGAAAGATAATGCTAAAAGGAAAATAGAAAGATGAAAGAACAGCAAATATGACTGCGGTAAAAATATTAACACACTGCGGTTAATAAATAATATATATATATATATATATATATATATATATATATATATATATATATATATATATATATATATATATTATATATATATATATTATATATATTATATATGTATGTTGTTGTGTGTGTGTGTGTGTGTGTGTGTGTGTGTGTGTGTGTGTGTGGTGTGTGTGTGTGTAGTGTGTATGTGTATGTGTGTGGTGTGTTGTGTGTGTGTGTGATGAACTGTGTTGTGTTTGTCGTGTTGCGTGTGTGTGTGTGTATTGTAAGATAATTACAGAAAGGGATGGTATCAGTTATGCAGGATAACTGCACTGAAAATTCGTTCTATAGTCTTGTAAGTACTCTAGACCAAATTATCACCATCAGCGACGAAAGATGTCGTATCGTCACACAGTGCCGTGTAGCTTCATTATGTTGATAATATTGTGTTGTGCCCTTCGCTAATTTCCGAATGCCCTGACGACTTTTTGCCCAGGTTAAATCAGCACGTCCCATCAATTAACTTGGCAGTGGAAACTCAGCAGGATGGCTCGTTGTCGTATCTGGAAGCTTATACCTGGAGGGTATATCTGGAATATACCTGGAGGGTGTTGGGGGTTAACGCCCCCGCGGCCCTGTCCATGGTACAAAGTTGAAGTCTGATATTTAAGGAAAGCCAAAATACGTGCACTCTCGTGTCCATTGTATTCAGATTATTCATAGAGGGCGGAACCATGTTTTACTAGTCCCCAATCCTGAATGTTTTAATGAGGAAAGAAAAAAATTGAGAATGGTTGTTCTTGATTCGCTGGTATTCTCCCGGTCCGGATCTTTTCCAGATGGTGAGCCAACCTTGGCTCCCTGTCTTGGGAGTGTCTGAGACCTATGTCTGCCATGGGAGGAGGTACAAGTACCTTCTTATCTTCTGGGACTAACTGTCCCCAGGCCTAGCCCTATTCCCTGCCCTCACGGGGCTCGTAGAGAGAATCTAAGCCTCTGGTCTGCCATCTTCCCCGCCCCAGGGGGGCTCGTGGGAATGGTGTCTTATGGTACTAAATCTGTTATTGATTACATAACAAAATGGCATAATACCGTGACTGAAACAACACACAACTAACCCGCACATAGGAGGAAGAAGCTTATGACGATATATCGGTCTGACTTGAACCATTTACTAGGTCACACTGTGTTAGTATGTCACATTAACTGTGTTAGTGTGACTTCTAAATGGTCCAAGTCAGACCGAAACGTCGTCATAAGTTTGGTTCTGTATGCGGGTTATTTGTGTACTGTTATTAATTACCCAGATGCAGTTAGTTTTGCAATACGTACCTGTTATAGTTGTTATATACCAAGTTATTAAAGCATTAGATATTAAGTTGGAGTTTAAGAATGTGAGAACTTTGAAATCATTGGAAATTATACGATCCCTCACAACACATTAATTTGGGAAGAGCAGACAAATTTTTCGCGAATTTTACTTCACTGTAAACAGAGTCCGAATTTAAAAATAAAATTTTTCCTAAAACAATTAACATAATTATATGTATTTCATAAATACCAAATACGACAAGCTATATATACTCACCGTGTATATATTCTGACGAGTATAACGCTTGATGTATGTGTATGCACTAGAAACAACAATGTGCCACACAAGATGCATACACTGAGAGGTATATTTAGTTCAGTGTATATATGCTGGGAAGTTACTTAAATTCCTGTTTCAGGGATTAAAATATTATTGTTTGGTGGTGAAGAGGTTACGTGCAGCCTTAATGACCTTAGTGCAGTCGATAGGTATTAAATCCCATTAACCAACTAATAATATATGTATACATGGAAGGGTGTTCATCTCGGTATATATATATATATATATATATATATATATATATATATATATATATATATATATATATATATATATATATATATATATATATATATATATATATATATATATATATATGTCGTGCCGAATGGCAGAACTTGCGATCTTGGCTTAAATAGCAACGTTCATCTTGCCATATAGGACAAGTGAAAATTTGTGTATGCAATAATTTCGCCAAAATCATTTTGAACCTAACGATAAAAATATATTTCACTGTGTTTGTTTAGTATTAAATTACTGTAAACAAATCTAAAATATATTTAGTTGGGTTAGGCTAAAATAAACTGTTCTTGTTATAATAAGGTTACGTAAGTTTTCTAAGATTCTTTTGTTGCAAAATTAAAAAAAATTTACATTAACATTAATGAAAAAAATGTATCTTTAATCGTATAAGAGAAAATTTTCGAAAGGACTTAATTTTACATGAGTTCTTGCTAAATTGACCAGTTTTACATATTCGGCACGAAATAATATATATATATATATATATATATATATAATATATATATATATATATATATATATATATATATATATATATATATATATATATATATATATATATATTATATATATATATATATATATGGGATAAAAGTGTTATTGATTAGATCAGATTACTGGCAGCCTCAAATGATCCTTGTATGTCGTTTGGCTTTAAACCCAATTAACTAACCACCAAATATATTCATCGTGAGGTGTATGTGTACTCAGAGTTTACTTCTCTCACTGTTTTAGGCTTTATGATTTTCTTGAATGGTGATGAACATGTTTTATGTAGCCTTAATGACCCTTTGAGTAAACCATAGGCTTTAAACCCAATTAACAAAAAAACAAAAACAAAAAAACAATTAAGATTTAATGAACACTGCAGTAAACATGGTTTATTGTAGAGTGTCACTGAAACATCACCGTACCTCACCGTATTGAAAAAATATATATAAACCACCAAAGTTTATTTGAACTTGCAACTGATTCTGTCGGGGAAAGATTTGACGGTTACACTGTTATACTGTTACACTGACTGTTATATTGACTGTTACAATGAATATTACACTGACCGTTATACTGTTACACTGACTGTTACACTGACTGTTATATTGACTGTTACAATGACTGTTACACTCATCGTTATACTGTTACACTGACTGTTACACTGTTATATAGACTTATATTGACTGTTACAATGACTGTTACACTGACCGTTATACTGTTACACTGACTGTTATACTGATTGTTACACTGACTGTTATGCTAATTGTTACACTGTCCGTTATACTCTTATACTGTCCGTTATACTGAGCATATGCACCACAACCCGGCTGATCAGGAATTAACTTGAGGCACTTATCATGGTTCCTCTGGAAGATAGCATATGCCAAATATTAAACCAATACCGAACATGTATCAAAAGAATACAACTTACCCTCCTCACCCATATTGCCCACATTGTGGCTCATTTTGTCTTGAGTCACCCAAGACGCTGACGATTCGAATTACACCGCATCGATGCTTCTAGTAACATATACATTTACGATCAATCTCTCATAATAATAATAATAACAATATTAATAATAATAATAATAATAATAATAATAAAAATAATAATAATAATAATAATAATAATAATCACACACACATATCATCGGAGGTTAATAATATAAAAGGTTAATTATTGATGCAGGTACAGCATGCTGGAGCAAGCCATCGCCATGGCCGGAGCGCTCAGCGATGAACCAGACTTCTCCACCTTTGAGAACAAGACGGGCCTGGCCGAGGACATGAAGTTCCTGGCGTCCATGCCGGAGCTGTGTGATGTGACCTTCTTGGTTGGAGACACCCGTGAACCCGTGTGTGCAGTGAAGGCTGTTCTAGCTGCACGCAGCAGGTATGTACAGTGGTAAAAGTAATGGAGGGATCAATGGTGTAATGGGTATAATCATAACCATGAGTCTAATGATCTAGTGGGTCGTGAGTCAGTGATCTAATGGGTATAATCATATAACCATGTAAACTAGTGTAAGGCCTCGGTGAGATGACCAAAAGCTCCAGCTCCGGGTCATGATATGACTAAGACCCGCGTCAGGAAACACTTGTTTTGTTTTGTGGAAAATAAAACAATATATATTCATATATACACCGTGACTGTATGTTTCTCGGTTTACTCGAACAATGTTTCTCAACCAGTGAGTCGTAACTCACTGGTAGCCCTCAAGATGCACTTAAGTGGACTACATACACCAGGAGTTCCAACATGCTAGCTAAATAACACTTAAGTGTTTAACAGCTAAATAACACAAGTGTTTAGCAGCTAAATAACACATAAATGTCTAGCAGCTAAATAACACATGAATATTTAGCAGCTAAATAACACAGGTGTTTAGCAGATAAATAACACAGGTGTTAAGCAGCTAAATAACACAGGTGTTTAGCAGATAAATAACACAGGTCTTTAGCAGCTAAATAACACAGGTATTTAGAAGCTAAATAACACAGGTGTTTAGCAGCTAAATAACACAGGTATTTAGAAGCTAAATAACACAGGTGTTTAGCAGCTAAATAACACAGGTATTTAGAAGCTAAATAACACAGGTGTTTAGCAGCTAAATAACACAGGTGTTTAGCAGCTAAATAACACAGGTGTTTAGAAGCTAAATAACACAGGTGTTTAGCAGCTAAATAACACAGGTGTTTAGCAGCTAAATAACACAGGTGTTTAGAAGCTAAATAACACAGGTATTTAGAAGCTAAGTAACACAGGTATTTAGAAGCTAAATAACACAGGTGTTTAGCAGCTAAATGCTGCAGAAGTGAAAAATAAGCAACTTGGGCTACAAAATTTTGGTTATTCTGGGTAATTTAAACATATACCACTAAAAATGAATGACCCAGGAGCTGTAGGTTTATTTATATTTGTTAAACTAAGCAGCCTAAGAGATATACCTCGTAAGGGAACCGAGTACTGTAAGAAACCCTTATGTGTGTACCAGTTAAAGGCTAATTTTGCTCACTCAACTCCGAAACTAAGGATGGTAAACTTCATTTATTCGACTCTGAAAAATAAGAATTCATGGAAAACTTGATACGAGGAAATGAAGCTCGCCCGAGTTATACCATAACACGAAAAAAGCGAACAAAAATTCAAAAAGAAATTAAAAAAAAATTTAATTTTTTTTGAGGGGAGACCCCTCCCCCCCCAAAAAAAAGCGAGTCGCTCCGGGATAGTCTTTAATTCACATACGTATTTTATATTAAATTATTTTTGACTTTTGGTGAACAGATGACAATTAAGAGAAGCAATAAAAATACACAATATTACATAAAATACACAATATTACATAAATACACAATATTACATAAATACACAATATTACATAAATACACAATATTACATAAATACACAATATTACATAAAATACTAGGTGGTCACGCATATAAAAAATGTATAAAAAATAATGTCATACACAGGACATACTTTAAACTCTACATAATTAAAATTCTCCCCATAAATAAAACTCTGCGCTTTTAAAACTCTACGTAAATTAAAATCTACACTCATAACTTGATATAAGTGAAAATCTACGCTTAAAATTTCACACAATTGATTTTATTCTTAGAACTCTACATAATTAAACCTGTATTCTTAAAACTTTACATAATTAAACCACTGCTCTTAAAACTCTACATAATCAAACCTCTACTCTGAAAACTCTACATAATTAAACCTCTACTCTTAAAACTCTACTTATTTAAACCTTTACTCTTAAAGCTCTACACAATCAAAATTGCTCTTTAAAACTCTACATAATTAAACCTCTATTCTTAAAGCTCTACACAATTAAAACTGCTCTTTAAAACTCTACATAATTAAAACTACTCTTCGAAACTCTACGTAATTAACGCTTCACTCATAAACACTACAAAATTACCAGTAAACCACACAGAGTTTGTTAAACCACTAACAATACATTCTGATTAGATCAAAACAAATGACGTCATTCTATAACCAACAGTTTGCATAATTAACTATAATCGATGTTTCGGTCCTTTCGGAACCTTTCTCGAATAAAATTTTTTTTTGTAGACGGCATAATGGTCTAGGAGTGAGCGAAACGTCATTTGAGTTTCCTCACCAGACATACCCATCAAGTATTATTCTCGGTGTATATACCCTGATAGATATAATGTATATACACCTATCTTGGTATATATACATTGATACATATAAACCTCTCGTTCTATATACAGTGATAGATATAAATCTTAGGGTGCATATATATATTGATAAATGAAAACCTCACAGCGGGTTTACACTGATACATATACACATTTTGGTATACATACCCTTGTATATATAAACCTTTCGGTGTATACATACTGATTGATATACTCCTATCAATGTGTATGCACTGATATACACATCTTTGTTTATACACATATATATTCACTTTCCGGTGTGTGCACTAAGGTATCCTTATAGAAGGGATATCTGCTGTGAGTATACCATAGTTTTGACTTCTACGTTTTGCTCTATGCTGTATGTTGTACATGCATTGAGTAGCAGCTCTGTGTGTGTGTGTGTGTGTGTGTGTGTGTGTGTGTGTGTGTGTGTGTGTGTGTAACGTAATGGAACTCTGTACATAGAGTGCTCCATAGGTTCCTGTGCAATTAATTACTTGCTGTTCCATCTCCCTCATATAGGGTGTTCCACAAGTGCTCACTGTTCCATCTCCCTCATACAGGATGTTCCACAAGTGCTCACTGTTCCATCTCCCTCATATAGGGTGTTCCACAAGTACTCACTGTTCCATCTCCCTCATACAGGATGTTCCACAAGTGCTCACTGTTCCATCTCCCTCATATAGGGTGTTCCACAAGTGCTCACTGTTCCATCTCCATCATACAGGGTGTTCCACAAGTGCTCACTGTTCCATCTCCCTCATACAGGGTGTTCCACAAGTGCTCATTGTTCCATCTCCCTCATACAGGGTGTTTCACAAGTGCTCACTGTTCCATCTCCCTCATACAGGGTGTTCCACAAGTGCTCACTGTTCCATCTCCATCATACAGGGTGTTTCACAAGTGCTCACTGTTCCATCTCCCTCATACAGGGTGTTCCACAAGTGCTCACTGTTCCATCTCCCTCATACGGGTGTTCCACAAGTGCTCACTGTTCCATCTCCCTCATACAGGGTGTTCCACAAGTGCTCACTGTTCCATCTCCATCATACAGGGTGTTCCACAAGTGCTCACTGTTCCATCTCCATCATACAGGGTGTTCCACAAGTGCTCACTGTTCCATCTCCCTCATGCAGGGTGTTCCACAAGTGCTCACTGTTCCATCTCCATCATACATGGTGTTCCACAAGTGCTCACTGTTCCATCTCCCTCATACAGGGTGTTCCACAAGTGTTCACTGTTCCATCTCCATCATACAGGGTGTTCCACAAGTGCTCACTGTTCCATCTCCCTCATACAGGGTGTTCCACAAGTGCTCACTGTTCCATCTCCATCATACAGGGTGCTCCACAAGTGCTCACTGTTCCATCTCCATCATACAGGGTGCTCCACAAGTGCTCACTGTTCCATCTCCATTATACAGGGTGTTCCACAAGTGCTCACTGTTCCATCTCCCTCATACAGGGTGCTCCACAAGTGCTCACTGTTCCATCTCCATCATACAGGGTGTTCCACAAGTGCTCACTGTTCCATCTCCGTCATACAGGGTGTTCCACAAGCTGCTGTACAACTCTTACTCACCCCAGAAGAAGAAAGAACCAATGAGTCGAGAGAAGAAGATCAAACTCTTCCTGAAGAGATCGTCAGAGCCTCTCATGAACCTCCAGGGTCAACAACAAGGCAGACAAGGAGTTAGTAGGGAAGGAGAGAGAGAGAGAGAGAGAGAGAGAGAGAGAGAGAGAGAGAGAGAGAGAGAGAGAGAGAGAGAGAGAGAGAGAGAGAGAGAGAGAGAGAGAGAGAGAGAGAGAAGAGCGAGACTGATATTTGAACATCAATATACGAATACATTTATACTTTTTACTCAATTTTTGCCCATTAAACATATTTTCTTTCAGGTATTACGCCAAAATGTTGAGACGTGTATACGAGTCGCGCACTTTAATAATACAGAGAAAATATCGTAAATAAACTCTCCAAAATAAATATTTTTTCATGTGTAATTGGAGACGAATTAATATCTATTACCTTGTAGGTGATCAATTAAAAAAAAATATATAGTACACCAATTAATATCAGAACAGGAAAATTTGATTAAGTAAAAGAACTGATGTTATAAGTCATCATCATTTAACGTAACATAGCCACTCCCCCTCGTTCCCCAAGCTTGTATATGTTGTATATGTTCACATGGATAATGTATATTCATACAGGTAATCCCCCACATGGACGGGGAATCAAACACGGAGTAGAGAGGATCTATACGTTTGGACTTCAGTCAGAAGCCAAAATGAATAGATTCTACTGATCCATTCTGGGCAGGTCACCAGATGTTTGATTCCTGAAGATACAATTCACGTTGCACTCCGTAGTTGATTTTCTCTTCATGTGCAAATTGCCCGTCCATTGTTTATGCCACTTGTATCATATGTTCATACAGTTTATCCGTCCATATATCGTATCTGTTGATACATATTGTATGTTGTATGTCTGTTACGGAAAACGTTTAATAACGTGTGTGTGATGTGCCCACCTGTATGTGTAAAGTGGATGGAGTCTGTTGATCTGCTGTTGAGGCCTGACAAGACTTGTTAAGTCTGTATCGAATGTTCAACACTATTGAGAGACTGATGTTGATTGTCCATTGATGTACCGTGTTTATCAGTGGTTGATGTCAAGCCCATGTTGACCACTGCTTGATGTCAAACCCATGATGATTACTGGTTGATGTCAAAACCATGTTGATAACTGGTTAAGGATGTTCATAACCCGTTGGAAAGATGCGCTAGATTAGGGTCATTGTGGTTGCATCTGGCTGTAAGTATTCATTTGAATGACAGAGAATGTGGAGGCACTTGTGGTAGTTTCACATGATGAAGACCTCCAGGTTTTGTCTTGAAAATAGCAGTACTTGTGACTGACTACTTGGTTTTGAAGGAGGGGATAATTGTGGTTGCTTCTGGTTGTAAGGATCTCGTCAGTTGGTTGTGGCTTCTTGGTTGTTGATGTAAGGAGAAGTGTTGCTGGTTCTGGCTACTTGACGAACCTATGTATGACAAACGTGTGCTCACAGAGGCGGTTGCCTCTTTGCTACGTCAGTAGATACATATCACTTTGTAGGTCTACATTTATCGCTAAACTGTGGATCCTCTACATATGCTGCTAATGTGTAGGTGGTTACATCTTTGTGAGTCCACAAACGTCGTCACAAAAAAGCAAAGATCATTCTTCTTTTGTAAAAACGAGAGATGGCAAACTTATCGAGTTGGTGGGCTCTTTAGGACACACTTGAAAAGTCTTGTTAGGTAAGACACATATACAACAGTTAGGAATCTTTATTTTGAAACATTTTGCCTACACAGTAGGCTTCTTCAGTCGAGTACAGAAAAGTTGGTAGAAGCAGAAGAGATGTGAAGACGATGTAATCAGTCCATCACCCTTGAAGACCTAGTTCTGAGGTGGTTAGTCCCTCAGCCTGGAGAAGAGTATTGTTCCATAATCTGAAACAATGTGAAGATGAAGTAACAGAATGGAGCCATACTGTCAGGAGGTGAGATGTAGACCACTAGTAGAAGTTAGAATGTAAGCATTGAGAGGTCACGTCCTTCTCAAATTTAACCACTCTCTTCAAGGGTGATAGACTTATTACATCGTCTTCACATCTTTTCTCCTTCTATCAACTTTTCTGTACTCGACTGAAGAAGCCTAATGTGTAGGCGAAATGTTTCGAAATAAAGATAACTAACTGTTCAATGTATGTCTTATCTAACAACCTGTCGGTATTTTATACCATTGTAATGCTGAATAGTCTTGAAAACCTTTATATCTGATTGTGAACGAAAGGGCAGACTTCATTGATTTCTTCAACTATGGAATGGCTGAGGTGAGATTAAAGGCGATGCATCTCTCTGAAACGTGTGTGGTAGCTAGCGTGGATGATGCTTCTCTCTGAAGTGTGTGTGTGTGTGTGTGTGTGTGTGTGTACTCACCTATTTGTACTCACCTATTTGTGGTTGCAGGGGTCGAGTCACAGCTCCTGGCCCCGCCTCTTCGCTGATTGCTACTAGGTCCTCTCTCTCCCTGCCCCATGAGCTCTATCATACCTCGCCTTAAAACTATGTATGGTTCCTGCCTCCACCACATCACTTTCTAGGCTATTCCATGGCCTGACTACTCTATGACTGAAGAAATACTTCCTAACGTCCCTTTGATTCATCTGAGTCTTCAACTTCCAATTGTGACCTCTTGTGTCTGTGTCCCATCTCTGGAACATCCCGTCTTTGTCCACCTCGTCTATTCCGCGCAGTATTTTATATGTCGTTATCATGTCTCCCTGACCTCCTGGCCTCCAGTGTCGTCAGGCCGATTTCCCTCACCTTTCTTCATAGGACAATCCCCGTAGCTCTGGGACTAGTCTTGTTGCAAACCTTTGCACTTTCTCTAATTTCTTGACGTGCTTGACTAGGTGTGGATTCCAAACTGGTGCTGCATACTCCAGTATGGGCCTGACGTAGATGGTGTACAGAGTCTTAAACGAATCCTTACTGAGGTATCGGAACGCTATCCGTAGGTTTGCCAGGCGTCCGTATGCTGCAGCAGTTATCTGATTGATGTGCGCCTCAGGAGATATGCTCGGTGTTATACTCACCCCCAGATCTTTTTCCTTTAGTGAGGTTTGCAGTCTTTGGCCATCTAAACTATATTGTGTCTGCGGTCTTCTTTGCCCTTCCCCAATCTTCATGACTTTGCATTTGGCAGGGTTAAATTCAAGGAGCCAGTTGCTGGACCAGGCTTGTAGCCTGTCCAGATCTCTTTGTAGTCCTGCCTGATCCTCGTCCGATTCGATTCTTCTCATTAACTTCACATCGTCTGCAACAAGGACACTTCTGAGTCTATCCCTTCCGTTATGTCGTTCACGTATACCAAGAACAGCACAGGTCCTAGGACTGACCCCTGTGGAACCCCGCTTGTCACAGGCGCCCACTCTGACACCTCGTCGGTACCATGACTCGTTGTTTCCTCCCTGTCAGATATTCTCTGATCCATTGCAGTGCCTTTCCTGTTATGTGTGCCTGGTCCTCTAGCTTTTGCAGTAACCTCTTGTGAGGAACTGTGTCGGAAAGCCTTCTTGCAGTCCAAAAATACGCAGTCGATCCACCCCTCTCTCTCTTGTCTTACTTCTGTCACCTTGTCATAAAACTCTAGTAGGTTTGTGACACAGGATTTTCCGTCCCTGAAACCGTGCTGGTTGTGTGTGTGTGTGTGTGTGTGTGTGTGTGTGTGTGTGTGTGTGTGTGTGTGTGTGTGTAGGCTAGCATGAATGATGCTTTTCTTTGAATTGTATGTGCTGGCTGGTTAGCTTGGGCATTCCTGCTGCATGATCTCCAGTTAGTAAGAAGAGTAGCGCAAACTCAGATATAGAAGGAACTTACCTCTATTAAGAATAAAGTATATATATATATATATATATATATATATATATATATATATATATATATATATATATATATATATATATATATATATATATATATATATATTATATATATATATATATATTGCTCTCCCCATTTGTATTTTATTTACATATGCTTGTGTGTATATATGCATTTGTTCTTTGTGTGTGTGTGTGTGTGTGTGTGTGTGTGTGTGTTGTGTGTGTGTGTGTGTACTTACCTACTTGTGTTTGAAGTGGTTGAGTCATAGGTCTTGGCCCTGTGTATGTATTTGCGTGTGCGTGTATGCGTGTGTATCATGTGTGCAGTAAGGCATGAGAGCAGCTGGGTGTAGCTAACGAGGTGGTTGTGTTGTTTGCTTACAGCGCTCCGGCTACACACACAAGCTGGATACCATCCCTGAGGTAGGCTGCCGACCCCAATCTCCAATCTCTTGTAGTAGTTCCCTCTTACCTGAGTAGACACTCATCTAGTCACTGTCTCGTTTCCTGACGGACGAAACACCACCACCACTTCCCCATACAGTATGCATGAGACCTGTAGTGCTGCCTGCAGTAGGCTCTTATGCTACGCTCACTGACCTGTAGTAGGCTTGTTATGGTTCACTACCCAGTTTTGCCCGCATGTTATATGATCAATTAATCTTATGTTGACAATTACCTTGGAAATTGCAGATGAACCTAGACGACGTTTCGTTCAATCTTGCACCATCATCATACCTAGCATATCACTAGCATGTCTTAGTCTAACACTAGTCATGTCCTAGCATACCACTAGGACGTCCTAGTAAAGAGGTTATTATAATGCCTAGCGGCCCTAGCCTGAAGTCTGCTAAAGCTTCCTAACATAACACTAGTTTTACTGCCTGGCATGACGTTAGTTCTTTTATATAAACTAGAAAATAAATAGTTAATAACCTGATAATTTCCTCTTCATCCCGACCTAAAATATGAAAGCAAAATTAAGAAATGCATTTTATAAAGAAAAATGTTTTATTTTAAGCTAATATATATATATATATATATATATATATATATATATATATATATATATATATATATATATATATATATATATATATATATATATTATATATATATATATATATATATAATGTATATTCGTTTATGACCATCTATACGTTTGTTATTAAATAAAAAATGTGTATTAATATTTTAATCTTTCAGTTCACTATATATCAGAGGTGACACGACTACAATACTTAAGATGGATGACACACAGTACCTGTGCTGTACGACACACAGTACCTGTGCTGTACGACACACAGTACCTGTGCTGTACGACACACAGTACCTGTGCTGTACGACACACAGTACCTGTGCTGTACGACACACAGTACCTGTGCTGTACGACACACAATACCTGTGCTGTACGACACACAGTACCTGTGCTGCATGGCACACAGTACTTGTGCTGTACGACACAGTACCTGTGCTGTACGACACACAGTACCTGTGCTGTACGACACAGTACCTGTGCTGTACGACACAGTACCTGTGCTGTACGACACGCAGTACCTGTGCTGCACGATACACAGTACCTGTGCTGTACGACACAGTACCTGTGCTGTACGACACAGTACCTGTGCTGTACGACACGCAGTACCTGTGCTGCACGGCACACAGTACATGTGCTGCACGACACACAGTACCTGTGCTGTACGACACAGTACCTGTGCTGTACGACACACAGTACCTGTGCTGTACGACACACAGTACCTGTGCTGTACGGACACACAGTACCTGTTCTGCACGATACACAGTACTGTGCTGTACGACACACAGTACCTGTGCTGCACGGCACACAGTACCTGTGCTGTACGACACACAGTACCTGTTCTGCACGATACACAGTACCTGTGCTGTACGACACACAGTACCTGTGCTGTACGACACACAGTACCTGTGCTGTACGACACACAGTACCTGTTCTGCACGATACACAGTACCTGTGCTGTACGACACACAGTACCTGTGCTGCACGGCACACAGTACCTGTGCTGTACGACACACAGTACCTGTTCTGCACGACACACAGTACCTGTGCTGTACGACACACAGTACCTGTGCTGCACGGCACACAGTACCTGTGCTGTACGACACAGAGTACCTGTGCTGTACGACACGCAGTACCTGTGCTGCACGGCACACAGTACATGTGCTGCACGACACACAGTACCTGTGCTGTACGACACAGAGTACCTGTGCTGCACGGCACACAGTACCTGTGCTGTACGACACAGAGTACCTGTGCTGTACGACACACAGTACCTGTGCTGTACGACACACAGTACCTGTGCTGTACGACACAGAGTACCTGTGCTGTACGACACACAGTACCTGTGCTGCATGGCACACAGTACCTGTGCTGTACGACACAGAGTACCTGTGCTGTACGACACACAGTACCTGTGCTGCACGGCACACAGTACCTGTGCTGTACGACACAGAGTACCTGTGCGACACACAGTACCTGTGCTGCACGGCACACAGTACCTGTGCTGTACGACACACAGTACCTGTGCTGCACGACACACAGTACCTGTGCTGTACGACACACAGTACCTGTGCTGTACGACACACGGTACCTGTGCTGCATGGCACACAGTACCTGTGCTGTACGACAAGCAGTACCTGTGCTGCACGACACACAGTACTTGTGCTGTACGACACACAATACCTGTGCTGCACGGCACACAGTACCTGTGCTGTACAACACAGAGTACCTGTGCTGTACGACACACAGTACCTGTGCTGCATGGCACACAGTACCTGTGCTGTACGACACGCAGTACCTGTGCTGCACGGCACACAGTACATGTGCTGCACGACACACAGTACCTGTGCTGCACGACACACAGTACCTGTGCTGCACGACACACAGTCCCTGTGCTGCACGACACACAGTACCTGTGCTGCACGACACACAGTACCTGTGCTGCACGACACACAGTACCTGTGCTGCACGACACACAGTACCTGTGCTGCACGAGACAAAACTTGTGGTGAACGACTTGCAATATTCACACTACTTATGGTAGACGACACACAATACTTGTGTTAGACGACACAGTTCTCCTAACTACAAGACACGACACTCAATACTAGTTAATAACAAACGACATAGAGTCACTGCGTTGGATTTGTATTGGAATGTCTTAAACAATTTTGAATAGGTTGATTCTAACCAAATTCAACCAATTATGGCATAAAACAGCACAGGTGAATGAGAAAATAAGTTACAAGAAGAGTTGAGATAGAGTTAGTTCACACTCCACAAAATCAACGTTCTGTTTTACTATCAACTTAACATTTTACACACTGTCTTGTAGTGAACAAGAACTCTTATTTAGGAGGATTCTTTGAGAACTGAGGCTGCCACTGGTAAGAGAAACTGAGGCTGCCACTGGTAAGAGAAACTGAGGCTGCCACTGGTAAGAGAAACTGAGGCTGCCACTGGTAAGAGAAACTGAGGCTGCCACTGGTAAGAGAAACTGAGGCTGCCACTGGTAAGAGCAACTGAGGCTGCCACTGGTAAGAGAAACTGAGGCTGCCACTGGTAAGAGAAACTGAGGCTGCCACTGGTAAGAGAAACTGAGGCTGCCACTGGTAAGAGAAACTGAGGCTGCCACTGGTAAGAGAAACTGAGGCTGCCACTGGTAAGAGAAACTGAGGCTGCCACTGGTAAGAGAAACTGAGGCTGCCAATGGTAAGAGAAACTGAGGCTGCCACTGGTAAGAGAAACTGAGGCTGCCACTGGTAAGAGAAACTGAGGCTGCCACTGGTAAGAGAAACTGAGGCTGCCACTGGTAAGAGAAACTTACACTCATTTCTATATGATTTTTTTCGTATTTACTGCAAAATTTTATTGCTAAGCTAATTGTATATTTCAACGAATGATATATATACGCCAGGAGGTATATATGTATGAGAGTTTCCTTTAATCTCTACTTTAGGGTTTAAATTATTTTGTCTCTGGTGGTGAAAAGGTTACATGCAGCCTTAATGAGTCTTGTGTAGCCGATAGGCTTTCAACCTCATTAACCTGCGCATTGTGAACAACTGGTTTGCAAAACCGGCGAGTTGATAAATGAAACACTTTTGCAAGATATGAGTATCTTTATCCTGAAAACGTTTCGCCACATAGTGGC